TGGCTCGCATGGTCTAGTGGTATGACGTCTCATTCACTCTGAGAAGGTCAAGGGTTCGATCCCCTTTGTGATCACCATTGTTTTTATGCTGGCCGTCTCAAACCCAAGTCTGTGGTTTGGTTGTAATGATGCAGAAGATATGTTGGTTAAGCGGAGTTCGAAATATCTTGTGGATGCATAAATAGGCATGAAACCTCGTTTATAATGAATATAACGGGGTACTGTTTATAGCCAGGTCAACAAAAATAGGCGTTAATGATAAATTTCAATTAGAGAACCACTCTGGCCGAACCAGAAACAATTTTAATCTTGAGAGCCCTATTTTGGTGCTAATTTAGCGAATCTATGCGTACTTTCCAAAATCGAGAACCTACTCCGGGTTCGGGGTCTGATCTTAATCTGTTTTTTCCGAGTTAGACTCTGCCGTTTAGGTCACTATAGGTTGCACCATTCCACTTCTATCTCGCCTTGTTTACTGGCTGTCAAAATCAGACATATCTCGGCTAAAGGTGGGGTTAAAGTTCCTCTAACCTTACAGTCCATGGCAACTATTTCATCACTCTATAGAATAATGCATATCACACCTACACAGACGAAGATATACCGTATATTATACATTACATTAGATTGTTGCAGTGCACTCGCGCTGTTATTTTCGCTCAAGCGTTCAACTGCACGTAGTTTCCTGGAAAACTCCCGGTCTGGCCGTTGTAAGTACCAGTCCACCAGCCATCGGCACCCTGGGTAATCACCTGGATCACCGCACCCGTAGCGAATGTCAAGTCCCCCTCAACCAGAGCGGCGTAATCGTAGATTGCAGTGCAGGTCTGGCCAGAGGTTGGGGGCGACATAGGGGCCGGAGCAAAGCCCGTGACTGGAGCAGGGGACACAGGGGCAAAGCCCGTAGCAGGAGGCGACACAGGCGAGGTGACAGTCTGCCCATAAGCAGGTTGGCCGTAAGCTACAGGAGACTGAGGTTGTCCGTAGGTTGCCTTTTCGTTGCCATATCCGCCTACCGCTGGAGCGTAAGCCCCCGCCGCTGGCGCGGCGTAAGCCGGTAACTTTTCCGCCCCTGGCGCTGGCGCACCATATTCCCCCGGAGCTGGCGCACCATACGCACCTGGTACTGGCGCAGCTGGAGCATACCCAATCGGTGCACCCGCCTGCTGTGCCTGTTGTGCCGCAAACCGTCTCTTCGTCAACTCCAACTTTGCCTTGGCATGTCCCACTTTGAAGTGCGTCAATCCGATCTGTTCTGTTTGCGCCTGAATATCCCCTCTTTTGTAGTTAAATGCCTCCACAATGTCCGTTGTCAAGTCAAAGTACGGAATCTTCAATTCTTCCATCCGGTTGTACAATGTGTAGAAGATGTTCAACTGCATGAAATAGAAGCTCACAAACAACGGCTTGATGAACTCCGCCTCCAACTGGAAGAGCACCGGTAACTCCTGCTTCAACATATCATTGTAATAGTTGTATTCCTCCTGAGCAATCTGGACCTCTGCCTGCGCCTTGTACTCACGTTCTTCGTCCTTAGGTGTCTTCTCCTTCTTGTCTGCATACTTTTTATGGGTGTTGAGGTGGCGATCTAAGTCGACCTGCTTGTGGGCACGCTTGGTGGCCATCTTGCGGATCAGTCGGATCACCGTAATCAATTCCTGGGCCGGGGCGATGATTCGCGTGTCGATAAGCTCGAGGTCCGGCTTCAAAGTCGCCTGGAGCTCCGCCACGACCGCGCGGTACGCTTCGGACGCCTCAATCCCCTCTGGATTGTCCTCCGGGACCGCCGCGTTCGGGTCGGACAACCGCCCGCTAATTGGCTTGTAAATCTCTTCGATCGCCCTGGAAAACCCGATCTGGTGGTCGAGCATCCCGTTGACCGCGGCGAAGTAGCGCTTGGACTCGTCGCTGAGCTTCTGGGTTTCGAACTCGAGTTCCTTGAAGCGGCGCTCTGCGTCTTCGTAGACGGGATCGGATGTTGTTTCACCCTACGGCATGTTAGTATCGGAAGTTTAGCGAGTCCGTGTTGAAGAAAGTGGGGTGAAGAAGCGAAGCGTTCGGCGCAACCGGAGGTACCGCCCGGGAACTTGCTCCAGTAAAGTCCAGGTCACGCGAAATTCAAACGAGGTAAATCCTCCTGGAGAACCGGACCGTACTTTCCTGAGCGGAAGCGGGCGTGTGGGGATAGTGTAACTGGAAGAAGCCAGTACTGCTCTCTTTCGGCTTTTCCAATAGATCATTTCCAATAAAAACAAGCTCCTACCGGATTTACCCACATCCCCACCCTGGCTTTACCAATTAGCTGCTCCGTAGGCTGTCGCTGCCCTCGGCTTCACCAACTTGCTCCTAAACCTGTTCACATACCATGTTGAACTTCTGGCGGAAGTTCTGTGGGGCTCTGATGATCCCCTTCTTAAGGCCCTTAAAACTCATATTGATTGCGTTGTGTTGTAATGTGCGTTGTGAGCAATTGGCTTAAGTCAATTGAATACAATGTGAAGTAACGACAGTTTTGCTCGGCCATTGCTCCGCCTGGGAAAAAAAGGGGTAGGTCAGGGCATGAGCAGCGCACGTCCAAGAGCAGCGGCGCAGTTGTGTGGAATTCTCCTGTACGGACACTAGCTCAACTAGGGACGGACGACTTAGAGTCATGAGTCAATAGTAGGTGGATAGCGAACGAGGATAGCGTACCAGGCTGAGAGTTCTGTTTTCAGGTGACGGGTTTCGCCAATCTGTGTATATGTAACTTACCAGCGGTCATGGTGGCTTCTATTGAAAAGGAAGAGGGGACAATGAGTCCGGTGACGTCATGGGTGCATCAGGGAGGGACGATGGGCTTATTTTAAGGTTTGTTTATATAGATGCCAAAAGAAATTTCAATGTCCAAAAACTGCTGAGAATATTGTTCTGAGGTGAACTAAATGGAAAATTTCGGAAAATGGTTTTGATTTGTGGTTTTGATTTGTGGTTTTGATTTGAAGTTTTGGGATAATAAAGCCAACCTATGGGGTAATTTTCACGAACGTATAGATGGTATGGCAATTGGCGTACATCTTTTGCACCTCATTTACTGTCTTTATTGAATGTATGCAGATTTTAAAACTTCAATTATCTCTAGCTTCTATTGTGCCGTAGAAATTTATTTTAGGGAAATGTTCATCAAATTATTTCTCCTCACGCGTCATTCCATTACACAAAAATCTGCAGGGATGGCAACTTCATCAGCATTCATAAACCTTCTTAAACTTACAATCTCCGTAGAGCTAATATAAAAACCAGCTTATCTAGAACTTGGCCTTGGTTACCGTGAAATCTCTTACCAATACGCGCCTTACTTCTTCGGCAACACCATAGGACAACTCAAAGCCCATGCCGCCTGCACCATAGGCGTGAATTACGGTCACCCCGTCTTCCTCCTCCGTTTCAAGCCTGAACCCCGTCTTTCTTGCAGGTCTAAATCCCACGTTGATGCGCTCGATCTGGGCCTCCGTCGCCTTCAACAACGGAAAGATATCATGCGCACCTTGCAAGAGCTGGGCAGTGTCCCCCATCTTCGGTATCGGAGTGCTGTCATCCACCTGCTTAGTACCTCCGAGAATGAGGCCACCATTGAGTGGTCTTGGGATGATAAATGTCCACTTGCCGTCGCACGACTGGTGGGTAATAGTTTGGTTTACGTATGGCTTCAACTCTTCCTCGGTAGGTCTCAATAACAAGGTCTGGCCACGGATCGGGTAGCAAAGCGGGTCAAACCCCCCATTATAGAGCAAACCGTTACCGGAGCAGTTCACGAGGTGTTTCACATATGGGAAGAGTTCCCTAGCGGCGGATAATGACAGCAAGGTTTGTCTCACAAAAGTGACTCCGAGCAAAACCAACTCCTGGTAGAGATATTGGAGGTATTTTGGGGAGTTTAGCGTCCAGGTATCATACAGGGTGACTAGTCTGGCTCTCTCGATAACCTCCTTGGAAATGGCAATCTCCTTGTTGGAGTAGTCATATGAAACAGTGTCGGATTTCAAAACACGAAAGTTCGAAAGCTCTTCGGTGTAGCCGCGACCGAGAGAGGTATACTCAGGCAAAGGATTTTCCATGATTTCAACCCCCTGCATGAATTTAACAGAAGATTCTGGGTGGTGCTCGGCGAGATGGCGGAAACGGGCCTGGGTCGCACGCGTGAGCGGCCACTCGAACTCCAGGTAGTCGTTTCCAGGAATATTTGGGAAGGGGCGGAAGTGCGCGCCAGCCCAAGGAGAAGTGTAGTGAGGGTTACCCAAGTCTTTGGTGGGCAAATGGCTTGCCACGACGGCGATGTGTGTGGTAGAACCGATGGCATTGGCGATCTCAAGAGCACAGGTCAATCCTATGACGCCAGCGCCAACAACCACAACGGTGGGTTTGGCTTGGGAGTGTGAAGACATTTTTCAATGAAGGATAAGTATGCTGATGTTGAAGAGGTTAGGGTTGCGTTCATATACACTGAGGAGAAGCTGGGTGTTTAGGCATCGACTACTCCGCAAATGCCCATGTAAAGGCCGAACAGATCAGGTGACTTAAGAAACGCCGTGCGACGGATAAGCGAACTCTCAGAGCTACGAGACGTGACCCAGAAAATGGAGCATAAGTAATGGGGTTGACGGGTATTTATGATATCGGTGCTCAGTAAACATATCCATTAGCAATCCACAGATGGTTATACTCGAAAATATAGTAAAGCAATAGGTGGAAAATTGGAAGTAGTAGCACAGCCACACAGATATACAAGCAAAGCCATACTATCATACACGAATAAGCTCGCTCCGACTACTCGATATAATAAATATAGCTTAGCTAGACTCAGACTCTTTTGGAAATGTCAGGATAGTACATTTAACTAATAATTTTGAGGTCTGAAGATATGCCTCTCCCAGTGATCGATGCTCGGCATTTCGATTCGAGGGCATTTCGGAGGTCCGAGGGGCTTAACGGTACTCATGCATATCATAACTTACCAACCGCCTGTTTCTCCCCGGTGGCGGGGTCACGCTTTACACTCATAACTGTATTACACTCATAACAGCATTATACTCGTAGAAGCGTTACACTCATAACAGAACTACATTAATTAATTAACCCAAAATATTAAGTGGTGAGCGGCTACCAAACGCTCACTCTTTTGATGTAGCACTCCTCTTGAGTAATTGGTGTACAACTGTCATGCTGCTTAAAACTCTGGGGGGTCCCGTTAGTCCTAGACGTTAACTATCGGGAAGATATCCATGTCATTACTGGAAGAATTTGCGTGCAAGGGAAAGGAACCTGGAGCGATAAAAAGCACTCCTAGTCTTAAAAGCTGAGAAAACTGTGACACAAGACAGGGATGGATATGTATCTGTGTTCCTTCGCTGATAGTATGGCAACATATCGATATCGTAGCTCGTGTGACACGTAACCTAATAAACTAGATTCTGCTCCTACTTAGCATTTTCAGACGAGAACCAGCGGTCAATTTTCCTTCCAATGTCATAAATGTCAGGTTTCATTCTGCACCTACCCCTCCCCCCGCCCTCCTCGGTTCTACCCGGAGTGACGCACCCCAAGTTTTGTCGACCAGACGCATGCGGCGAAAACATAAACCGTTGGCCAAGCGGTTATATTTTCTTCCGACGCTTATTAAACATTAGACAGTTATATTCCACCATTGCCAGCGGCTATCTGAGTAACACAAGCCATTTATCAAGCCGTATCACCAACCATTAGGGACCGTTTATCCAACCATACCTCTGAGTCCTGTTATTATCGATGACGGAGAGTACAAAGGCGCAAGACGCCCCCATCCGCGTGCTCGGGCGCAACCACTACGCGTGTTCCCGGTGCAAAACGTCCAAAATCAAGTGTTCAGGAGGTATGTATTTATTTGAGAAAAGAGTGAAGTGGAAGAAAATTTAGTCGGGCTGAAGAAAAGGCTGAATCCCCTGTTGGGGAGTGTGAAGTGATCCCTGATTCCAATACTTTGTATCGTTGGTTACCTTTTGCGTAGCCAAAGGTGTGTACTGTGCTACCAGAGGGAACCGAGGCTCCTGATCCAGAAAATCTCTTCGAGTTAATGGTTTCTTTTTTCTCCGTGGTATCCTTCCTATCGATATTGGAGACTATCAGCCGGGTCATAGATAGCTTGCAAGAACTCACACTTGAGGTTGACACGTGAGTTGCATATAAGCTACCAGAAAAAAACCTTCAGATTCCTCGGATTAAGCTGCTTGGACCGTGTATGGGGGACCTCCAGAGACTCCCGCTGCCAGCCGGCCGCATTTATTCGGATGGAAAGGTAATATTCAATCCTGATGGGTAGTTGCCCATTCTCTAGAGAAAGAATCGTTTTACACTCAATGTGGGGCTTTTTCAATCCCAGAAGGATACCAACTCTGTGTGCGTAAATGCTCGGTGTTCCATATCGTTAAATCCAGCATTTTTTATCCCCATGGCCGCTCATAATCTGTCCAACTCACTTCGCTTGCTCGATATTGTATACTAACATTTTAGACCGACCAGCATGCAAGAACTGCGTGCAAAGCGGCAACAACCACGACTGCGTCTACCCCTACAAAGACCGCAAAGTCATTATTCTCCAATCCCAGTTGGAAAAACTCCACAAACGGATCCACGAGCTCGAAAACGGTACCACATCCGTAAAGCTCGAAGAGGAGACAATCCCCAAGCACAAACGGGTAGAAACCCCCAACCAAGAACTACACCGAACCCCGGAGAGGGAGTCACCCGAGGAAATCCAAGAAGCCGCAAGCAATCCGTTATTTCCCCACTCTGATCGCGTGGGGTCTATCTCGTGTCAGGTGTTTGACCACGCGCTAGAGTCATTTCTCGGCGACTACGGCGGACTAGATGGCTCGCAATCTGCCATGTCGCCACCGAACAGTGATAGCGGTGCAGACGGGGTCAACTACTACCTCGAAGATACCCTCCTTGAGAGCAGCAGCCCCAGCACATTTGTGAGCCTCCCAGACATCGCCTATGCCCTCACTTTGATCGAAACTGTGCGCAACTTCAACCGCGAGTACTACTTTTTCGACTACCGCGAGTTCGCGGCGCGAGTGCACCAGGTGTACGCGGATCTCAACTCACAGGATCCAATCTTCCTCTGTCACTTCCTCTGCGTGCTCGCGATCGGAGAGCAGTGCCGCAACGGCTCGCTCGCAATCCAACAGCAGAAGCAGTTTCCCGGGCTCGAGTTCTTTGTGAATGCAATCCAGCTCTTCCGCCTCAATAAGGAGGAGCACACGGCCGAGTACGTCCAGTGCGTGCTCTGTCTCGGCTTCTTTTCGCAGACGTTGAACCGCAGTAATACGGCTTATGGCTACTACGGCTTGGCGATGCGACTGGCATTGGTCTTGGGGCTCCATCGTAAGCAGCCAGAAGAGGATCGTGTGGTGCTGGAGAAGCGCAAGCGCGTGTGGTGGACGGTGTTTGTGCTCGACAGCTTGTGGGCATCTAAGATTGGTATGCCTGTGCACATTGAGATCGGCATGACGGACGTGGCGTTGCCGATGGAGGGATATGAGGATTTGGACGACGGCTTTGAGATCGCCCATTTGCATGAGAACGTAAACTTGTGCCAGTACATCGCAAAGATTGTGCGCAAGGTGTACTCTCCGCCGTCGTTCACTGGAGAATATCGTATCTTGTCCGAAACAAGAGACCAAGGGGACGACTATCGAAGCCCTGGCACTCCCGGGACATCACGAACCAGCTTTGTGACCAGCACCTTGGAATGCCTCAATGATTTGGTCAAGTTGGAGATTACGTGTCAAGAGTACACTCAGAGCATCCATGAGAACGGCGTGCTCCAGATCCACAACCAGCTCTCACGCGGTGTGGTGAATCTTTACCTCCGGTTCAATCACCTCGTGATCATCACCACTCGTCCGCTAGCCCTTGCAATTTTCAAGAAGTCCATCCCTGAAACGGCCGAGACGCGCCAGGCCACCACGCGCTGCATTGTCAGCGCGTGCTACAACATCGATGCACTCTCCAACTTGAAGAACTTTGGCCAGTTGACCACTGGATTCTGGGACGGACAACACTGTTTCTCCGCGTTGTTGATCTTGATCATGGCTTCACTCTCGGGCAATCAGTATCTCCCGTACATATACAAGGGTGTGGACATTCTTAAGTTCTTGGCCCAACGTGGAAATATCAATGCCAAGAGCCACTACAATCGCCTAAAGGAACTTGACCGCTTGCTTGTGACCATCGCCGAGAAGAACAAGAGCTTCAGCTTGAGCTTAGGATTGGGCGCGTTGAAGTTAGACGATGTGGGCTTTCACATTCTCCCGCCAATGTCAAAGCAGAAGCAGAGGCTCCATCGGCAACAGTACACCGGGAAAGCCAAGACTGTCGACGTTCCGTCACTCCTGGATTTCGGCTGCTTGCCTGAAATTGACATGCACGAATTAGATGCTTTTGGTCTGACCGAGAAGTCATCGTCGTACATGGATCTTGGTAATTACTTTCTGTACTCAAAGATTGCGGAGCCTGGGTTTGAGTTCAAGGCGGAGGAGCCGAAGGAGAGCGAGGCGAAACAACAGCAGTTAGATCTCCAGACGTTGCGGGATATTAACAATAATCCACACTTTACATACGGGAGCCCTGATGTGATGAATGGGTTGGACTATTTGGTGAACAATATTGAAGGGTGGGTCAATGAGTAGGTTGAATAAGCCAGGTGGGGTCAAACAAGGAGTCCCAACTGAAAGAATGAAGGAAGCGATTTCGAACCTAAAGTCGTGACCTTGAGGAGGGAAGAGGCTTGGGAGTGTTTTTGTAATTAGTGATTTACATCTCTGCGTAAGTATAACAGTGGTTGCACGATCTTAATGAGTAATGGTTTTGTTTGAAACATGTATCGGGACCTTTATTTTTGATTCAGATGGAATTAATATTGTAGAATGGACGTTACCTATCAGATTTATGAGTAAAGCTATGTCGATGCTCGATATACTCTTTACTAAAGGTGCCATTTAATTCCGCAGAAGCCATCGGTAGATATCCTCACTGATAGAACGATAGTCTATACAACTTACCATACAGCATTTCTGTATTGCATCCTTTTTGGTATACAAAGAGCTCGACTTTCATTTGTATGATATATCCTGCCTATGAAAGGTACTCTCATAAAACAGACTAATGTTTGACCTTAATCCTTCGCGGACTCTAGTCTCTGTAAGTTTAAGGAGAGTGTATAACAACCTCAACGTGAACGAACATATACCAATATGTACTATTCAAAAAATAGGGTCCATACGACCCATCATTCACTCATGCCTGTTTCAGCAGAACTACCAGTCAACGGAAAGCATTTTCCATCTCCTATGGGCAGTGGGACAAAAAAGTATCCTATAGCATACGTCACTGCAAGAGAAGTCAGTAAAACGTACTTCTTGATCCCGGTGTCTACGTTCTCCTGGGAAGTGTTCATGATCTTTTCGGTGTTGGTGTTAGTTAGCTTGGTAAGACTTCCATCGGTATCCCGAATGTCCCGATATTCGGTGATGTGGGAGAGTACGTAACCCAATTTCATTGAGTCTATTAACTCGTGCAACTTCTCTGACTTAAACCACGCGTATGTTACTCTAAAATATTGAATCCCTACCCTCCCGATACGGATAAAGTGCACGAATCGATTGGGGGTAATAAGCAAGAAACGAGAAGACAGCTATCAGCCCTATTTAGAGGTTTAACTCAACGCAGAATATCAACAGAAGAAAGGATTTCTGGGCTAACCTCTAAATATTGTAAGATGACAACATGCTGACAAGGATAAGAATTTTGAGGAAGTAGAGGGTCAGATTGACAGGCTTATCCTGCCCCTCCCAGGACTTGCTGGAGCCTTTGGAATATCATGATGGACCGCAAAAAGTGGTTCGCCCCTGTCTACGCGATTACAATTCGTTGATAGCGCGCAGTAAGTGATGTCACGGCCATATGGGGCCATTGAGTGCCATTATTTTCTGGTTTAATTTTCTGGTTATTTTTACCACTTGCTCTGGATGTTTCAAACGAGATATGTGATTCGCCTGATCTGGGAACTATATGTGGTGTGCTCGTATTACGTCGAGACTTAAATACCTTGTTAGTTCGTATTACTCCGGGGGCATAAAAGCTTTCTTCCATAATTCATCTATATCGCACAGGATGAGAAAAAGCTGCGTTATCAACAATACGGCCTGTAAGACAATAAGTATGAGCTTCAGGTCGTTGCGAGAGACGTTAAATGGGCTCCGATAATGAAGTGTTTTCATCAACCAATAAACAATCACTGTGTTCCGGGTAAAACATCCAATCTTGTGCCGACTGTCTGCGTAGTATTCCTTTGAACTTTCATTGGTATAGGAATTCTATAAGTCAAGAAAAAGGTTGATCAAGAAAAGCCCAAATGCAATCCGAGCCCATTTTAAGCCCTGTGACAAAGGAGGACTTTCGAGATAATTCTGTCCACTTTCGGAATCAGAGAGAGAGGAGCTTTTCGTTTTCAAAATCTCCCACAGCTGTCACTAGAGAACTTTCATCGCCATGATCTCCAACATCTGAAGCTTTTTCACAATGGACTGAGAAGCTCATTGTTTAATAGGGAGGGAGATCTGAGGAAAGGGCTTGGCAGTGTTTCAGACCGAAGTTAAAAATCAGCTATAGGAATCTAAAGCTGTAAGAGCTCGAGAGAAGCAGAGTGAGCACGTCAGGAAATACTATGCATACTAAGTGTATGAGAATGTGTTAAAATTCGAGTAACAACAAGACATATGTAGGGTACCCAAGCCTTACTGCAAGGATTTTTTGGGCTGTCAGATTAGGTATGTAGGGTAGCTATCCTGAGCAACCGAATATCTGTCACAGACATGGCTGACGTGCTCCTTCGGAAGATAACCAGCACCGAAGACTTGCGGTTATGAAAACAGCAGTACAACCAATCCAGGAGGTGACTTATTATAGCTAATTCAGTTTACTCTGGTTGACAAAATAAATGCAGTGCCAGACAAAATAGCTGCTTTGCTGGTAATTATAATGTGCACTGCCCTGATGGGGGCTTATATCTGAACACAGTGCCACCTGAAAATGACACCTCTTCATATCGTTCCAGCTACAACATTAAACTTTTCAAGTTCCTATTAAGTTATACTAAGCGCAAGAAATAAATTGAAAAAAGGCGATTGAAACAAAATGCAAGACCAGGTCAGAAAGCAGCCTCAAATTCTGAGGTGTAAGGCTATACCGCTTCTTTAGTGTATCTTGGAAGCGCATACATACCAACCACCTTTTCGGTCGTGATCCCAACAGCGTGTTTGAAGTACGATAAAAATGCTCATTCAGCTCGCAACATGATGCGACAAACCGAACAATAGATAATTCATAGGGCGATCAACTCGTATTCCCTCAAGGCCAATATTCCCCGTTAGCCTGTCCTATCCCAAAGATATATAAGCTTTAGTCGAAATTTATCTATAAAGAAAACACGAAGGTTGAAAATGCCACGAAAAATACCAGTCGAGCAGTAATCAGTCCTCTGTCCGCGGGTGAAGTCAGGTTCCACAAAACATATAACGATATATACCACGGAATTGCAAGCACAGCCCACGAAGAGTATACAATTATCTTGGCTGTAGGTGAAAAGTAGTTCCTCAATCCGTCACCTGCAAGAAAGTGTCCTGATACAAAAGAAACAAATGTCTGAAAGAATGCGATACTCATAATGGTCCCTGGCCCCATCGGCTCAGGAGGAGTTTCAAGGCGGGTCTGCTTGCTTTCGAGATCAGAAACGATGGAAAGAATTCTATCGAGCTTTTCCGTGATCGCCAGTATCGGATCTTTGCTGTCTTGAGCGCCAGTATCAGGAGCCTTTTCATACAGGCTGGAGAAGCTCATTATTTAAGGGGAAGAAAGATGCGAGGAAGGGTTAGCAGTGTTTCAAAACAAGGCTGCGAATCAGTTGTAGAGATATAGAGCTTCGAGAGGTCTAGAAAAGTAGGGGGTGGAAACGTTAGGAAGAAGTACGCTCGCTCGGTTTGGTAGGATACTTTATGAATCGATTCTGGGGATTATCCAGGTATAATACTTTACATTACAACAGTAAATTGTCTGGGCTGCCTTTCTACACATGTAGAGTAACCACCCTGGCAGACTAGAAGTTACTCGTACGGACATCACATATATATTTCAGCTACGACAGCCATGGAGACCCTAGAACCAAGCCGCCGATTTAAACTTTTTTCAGACATGATAATGTAATCCTGCATGACGTATTGCCAAATTGGGGATCCAGTTTCACGAACTTTGATATAACTCGGTCACAGAAACTCCAAAATGCTGGGGTGCGTAGTCGAAATCGATCTTCATGTGCAACTGCTTTATCTAATGACAATCTTAAAGCAGTGATTTGTTTGTCCATAACCCCAGCTAGAGTGTTGATTTAGAATTCTCAAACATACCATCCAGTAAATTTGAAAACGCAGAACATTTAATTGTCAAGGATCTGAGGGACTCTCCTCTTTTGCCAAGCAGATAAAGATTCTCAAAGTAATCGACGATCTATACTGGCATGAACTATCTGGGCCTTTACCAGGGCTAGTTCGGCCTTAATTTGGGTTTCATAATCACCGATATAGACTCGATGCTATAATACTAGTAATACCACATATCAAAGAGGTTAAGCATCGAGGCTTATTTAATCAGCGGTAAGAGAAAGCAGGCTGCAGTCAGACAACTTTGTTGCTGTAATAATTATAAGGTACAGCGTCGAAGTGGAAGCTTGTGTCTGTACGTGGCGCCATTTTCTAAGTATCACCATTTCATATCTCTCCAACCATAGTATAAATGTTACCTAATCACACGAGTCGTTGGCAGATATCACGTCACAAGAACTTTCTGTTGTGAGTCCACTGTGAAAGAATCCCGGGAAGGCCACCGACAGTGTACTCCACCTCTAGCACATAGCTCTATAGGTTTGTCTGATGGATAAAATCATTGGCGAGACCTATTTCCTTATTGTGCCTGCACATTTTATAACATTTTTATGACATAGCTGTAGACTAGTCCCATATTCTTATTGGGTGCCAGACTGCGGAAACGTCTCTGTATTCAACGTGCACGACGCCCGACTCCAGTCTCGCCGCATGCCTTAGTTCTGCACGCAGATAACAACTCGACGTGATGCTACCGACTCTCTCTCAACTCCCATTACACCAAGGAATCGTTAGAGACAAATCTACAGACTTGTCTGCATATATCAGTTTCCTAAGAGAAAACTGCTGCCTTCCATACTGTTCTGAGTGTCTTCTTGGATATACCCGTGCCCAGGAGCCCCTCAGCGAACCCTTCCAGAAACTTCTGAATCTGATAAGGTCCCCACCTTTCATCAATATACTATTGATCTTTAACGATAGACTTATTATATTTTAATCACCTTTAGACCTTCCATTCAATGCTCATCCCTCAGTCGATCACACAGCAGTTGGCATGGACCTCCGTGGTTGCGTACCTCGGAATGTTCCAGTTCGGGTTCCATCTCGGCGAGTTGAATGCACCACAGGGGGTTATATCATGCAAAGTGTACATTCCCGGGCCTTTGCCATCATATGAGAATACTTTCTGGGGTGCTCACGGCTTCAAGACATGCATTCCGATGGACGACCAGGAGATCGCGCTAGTCACGACAATGTTCACGGTCGGGGGGCTAGTGGGGTCTCTTTACTCGGGAAAACTTTCAGACATGATTGGCCGAAAGCGCACGGCCAAGATTAATGCGGGTCTCTTTGTGGTTGGGGCCTTTCTCATGACCGTTGCTAACTCGAAAGAGGTATTTTTGGTGGCGCGCTTCGTCAACGGCTTGGCGGCGGGCTCCTCCATCGTGGTGACCCCGATATTCATCAACGAGGTAACTCCGTATAACCACCGCGGGCTCTTGGGTGCTCTTACTCAGCTTGCAGTCTCGGTGGGACTAGTGGCGGTTATGACGTTGGGTTTTATCTGGACAAACGTCCAGCAATGGCGCAACGTCTTTGCAGCTGCCGTGGTCATTGCGGCCGTCACGTTTTTGGCTATTTTCTCCACTGTCGAGTCCCCAAAGTGGTTAATTGCGTCCAAAGACGACGTTCCAAAGGCCACCAACATTCTCAACTCCTTACGGTCCCATCGTGGAAGCGTGCACGAGGAGATTCTGAACTGGCGGAGGATGTCCCGAAGCCAGTCTACCGTGTCACTCCCATCATTCAGAGAACAGTCCAGAGGGAATGAAGAAGCGATTGAGGACGAAACCTCACGTCTTTTAACCTCTGATTCCAATGATGTCACTTCGTGGCAATTCATCACGGCTAAGCGATACCGATCGGAGTTCATTGCGATTGCGATCATCATGACCGGCCAGCAGCTCACTGGGATCAACGCCCTCACATATTACGGTGTTTCTATCTTGCGTGAAGTAGTTCCAGACAACGTGTTGACCCTCACGGTGGCGCTCTCACTCACTAGTACCGTTTCGTTTGGCCTTATTTCCCCGGTGGTGGACCGCGTGGGTCGTAAGACGCTTCTCCTCCTTTCGCTCTCCATTATGACCATCGCGGTTGGTGGCATGGCGGTTGCCTTGACCCAGGATGGAAACCATGCGGTTTTGTGCGTCGTCTCTTGCTTTTTGCTTCTGATCGGGTTCGCCTGTGGTTTGGGACCGATTCCGTTCTTGATGATCAGCGAGATGGCACAGCATGACTCCGTGGGGCCTGCCCAATCGGTGGGCTCGATTCTCAATTGGTGTTCCAACATCGTGCTCGCATACACGTTTCCCATCGTGCGGGAAGTTCTTAGCGGATATGTATTTGCGGTGCTTGCCGTGACGTGTGTCCTTTACGCGTTTTTGATTGCGTGGAAAGTACCAGAAACGAGGAACAAGATGACTTATGAGGAGGTGTGGGACCAGCTGGTTACAGCGGGAGATAGGTTGAGCTAACGTGTTTGGGCCCTCGAGCTGTACAAAGAGAGGAGAATTGACGACAGTTCGCAACATAAATTGCATTTATCCCTATAGGCTTTAGCAATGCTGGTGTATTGATAGAGCCGAAACTGAGACAGCTATCATAGTAAGTGTTTGCCACGGGAAGATAGTGATAAAAGGATTTAAACCCATAAACAAAAAAAAATATGGCTGGTTTGAAGACATTGAGAGGTCTGGTAATATACGTCTAATTTAAAGATTAAAAAAATCTACATGTACAATAAAACTGTCCATTTATCGCAATAGGCCGCCTCTGTATCTGTTTATATGTTGTTGACAGCAGATTATCTAATCACGTTAATACATTCACTATGGAATTCAAGATAACAGTCCAAGGGCTCAGTACTAGCTTTAAGCTCTTGTGTAACTAACAGTGTCCTGTGTAATACCAATTGTCCAGACTATCTAGTCATTCAGCTGTATGCATATTTGTCTTTGGTCAGCAAAACTCAGTTGCCACAGTATTCATCGCACATTCCTTTCTCTTCCTTCCTTTAGCGTCTTTCTGCTACTCCAGCTATGGAATCCCGTTTCCCCACATTTACAGGCTTACACACTGTCTCTGTTACGACTAGGACTATAAATCGCTTAAAACGAGATTTCCCGATCTTTCCATCCTACCTGCTCCAAGGATTGGTGGTTTCCCTAAAACTCACTCCGAGAAAGATCAGCTGGTCCTGTGTGCTGGAAAGATCTATGCCTGCGCTACCGAATATTATATCGCCCGCGTAGTTTGTGGATGCCATACCCAGTTTCTGGTAGGTAGGTATCTGTGATGAAACCCCATTATCTTAAACGATTGAGAGTTGACTGAAAAGGGAATATCAGAAACCGCTTACGGCTAAATGTTAAATAGATAGTTAGTACGTGAGATCTGATTAGGATGTTGACGATTTATCCCAATGAGAAAATTTTCAGCTGAGGGGAAGATCCCCCTAGTTCAACAGAGCCCAGAACATTAACACGAAAAAAAAAAAAAAAAAAAACCTAAACTCTAAATCATACACTAAGCGGCCCTAGGGCACATGGAAGCTACCAGTAAATGATACAGACTGATGCTGAGGCATTAATTATATCGTTCGATGTCTTCGGAAAGGTGTCTAATTTATATAAATGGCGGACTCCACGTGCTGTAATATGACACCCTGGATTTGGCCGCATATTGTGTAGAATAAGTCAAGCGCGTTTTTCCACGGCATATGCAATAGGGGCAAGTGCAGAGTTTTCATCACACCCAATGACTCCCAGAAAGAGGGACAACCTCGTGTTGTTTTACCATATATCCACACCATTTCTAAAATCGCTTATCGTTTCTTTAACCATTTCTACCGTAAAGAATCTCGGAATATAACAGATATCACAGACAAGTTGCCTCTGGGTTTACAGTAATGTACATGCGCCCTGTATGCGAATCATCCCCTGCAAGTGTAGCCCTATCTAGTATATATGCCGGAGAAGGCACAGCGAGGTTTCAGAGCTGCACAGTGCAGACGGGCAGCTTATGAAGCATGCCAATGGCTCAATCGGGAAGGTTTGTGCGGCGTATTGTTGACTTTACAGCATCTATCTGGAAGGTGGGTCCGTACACCTGGCTATATTTAGTAGCACTAAATTCTATCTCTCAGCAAACGGACGTCCGTTCTTAGCCCATGAACTCATATATCCGAGCTTGTCGGTATGTTAGCCGGTTGAGGGTATCCTAAAGTCGGCTAATCCCGAGTTCATAGCTCGTGGTATGACTGGCAAGTGGCAACGGGAGGCGACTTGTTCGCGTATCGCCGCATGCTAATCAGATAGAGTGAACGCCAATCGAGAGAAACTTAGCGCTCATACTCGAGCAAACGGTTGTGCTTGAACAAAGGGGCTCCCGACAAGAGCTCGTGTAACGGACGATCGTACTGATCCCTGGACCTGCTTGCATTTGGCAATATTCGGGAGTGCGAGCACCCTTGGCCCACTGCACCAGTGCTAATCGCGTGCAAACAGAATCTATTTTTGCCGAATTGTCTCGTACGAAAAACTCTAATCAGTACGACAACGCGTGTGGTGGCCGCAGGACGCGGGAGCTGCATGTTATGTACAGCCTGTAAGGAAGATAAAAAGTTTAACTGTACACCGCTGCCTGACAGGGGCAGCATTAGTCATATTACACGTCGGTCTAGCCAAAAGGCCCGCCGAGGATAAAGAGGGTCATAAGAGTTGTCCCACGGGTATAGAGTCCTTCCACCAGAGACAAGGATATTTTTATGCTTCTCGTCAACTTTTTAAGGTCTGAAAATCTGAGTGTGTATATTCTGATCAATCCCAGACAGGCGGGTGTGCGCGTTTTTCCTCTGCTGCGGACGTAAAAGCTGTGTAGTCTGTTAGGCCCGAGGGTGTGCGCCTATCTCTCTACCTGGACATTTATTAGCTGCAGATGCTGCATACAGAGACATCAGCACAGCCTTAATCGATTTTACGATTACGGTGCATGAATTCTCCGCTCCCCTGGAAAAACCAGAGAGCCGACGAAAAGGTATAAATACAGCCATGCTCTCTGTTTTCCTTGTCCGAGACAATTTTATTTTCCCTTTATATTCTTTATACACTCACTTACAATGCAATTCACTAAGTTCGTCGTCCTTGCCGCTGCCTCTGCCGCTACTGTTTCCGCTGCTAACGCCACCAACTCCACCTCTTCCTCCTCTAAGGCTGGTGCCAACGGTGCTGTTGCCGTCTCCGGTTCTTTGATCGGTGCCGCCGTTGCTGGTGGTCTTGCCTTGTTCTTGTAAGATATCTGGTCATGTTTTCTTGGATATTAATCCAGTGCATCCTTATCTTCTAATTTTCCAATTCAACAAAATATGAAGACAAACGGTCAATCCCTACTATATTGTCGAGCTCGGCATTTTTGCCCGGCCTCGGTCACGGGATTCGTCCCCCCCTTCACTTTTGGTGTTCTGTATAACAAGCCTAATCCTCTAATTAATTTTTTTCCTGCTGTTTTTTATATTTAAAATGCAATAGTCTAATCAACCTTCTTGTATGTTTTAGTGTATGTTCTATCTGAACGTTTCGAGACTCCCATTTCTTGGGGGCGGAGTGGTAAGCATCACCCCTTAAAGCAATAATGCACCCGTGGGTGCTGTTTCCTCTGCGCATCATGGCATATACAGTGCGTCCCTGCTCTATGACACACGTTGCCAGCGACATGTAAATAGCCTCTTTCCCAAAAAGGTAGAATGTCGCGGTTTCTGGGCTACGGATTTACCGTGCAGGTCAGTGGCCCGACCTTTAATATAACGGCAACACCTTTTAAGCCAATCAAGCAGCAACTTGCCATTTACATAAACTATCTCAAGTGGCTGGAGTCAAGCAGTTGTTGGGTATCTATTAATTAATCCAACCTTATTTTAACCTCGTGTCCATAAATAAAGCTTTGACGAAGGACTGCAGACCTAAATAGCTACATCTTGCAGGACAAGAAAATCAGAAACGCCTATAGCTTAGTTCGAGGATTGAGGACCGGCAGAAGAAAAAGCAGTCACAAATTCTCACATCACCCACGTGACCACTCATCTTTGTTCGTATTCGTGTGATTTTCTTCCATTCTGCACGTGACCAAAAGGTTTTCGTGGAAAAATTTTGCGGTGTGCGCCTGCCGAACCTTTCCTTCAGCTTGGAAAATTCAGAGAGCGAGCCTGCTTCCGGTGGAAGGAGCATACTGTGGGAATAGTATGGCGGTTTGGGTAGTGGTAGAGGATGTAGCCTTAGATATAACCATTTTAAAAAAACGCGGTCTCCAATACTACGTATTCCCTTTGAACTTTTAAGAGAACCAACGAATATAAAATGTCTGCCGCTGCTAAGGTTTTGTCCGCCAACCCATCTGAATTGGAATTACAAGTTGCCCAAGCCTTTGTTGACTTGGAAGCCCACTCTCCAGAATTGAAGGCTGAATTGAGAACTTTGCAATTCAAGACCATCCGTGAGATCGAAGTTAACGGTGGTAAGAAGGCCATCGCCGTCTTCGTCCCAGTTCCATCTTTGTCCGCTTACCACAAGATCCAAACCAGATTGACCCGTGAGTTGGAGAAGAAGTTCCCAGACAGACACGTCGTCTTCTTGGCCGAGAGAAGAATCTTGCCAAAGCCATCTAGAAGATCTAGACAGCAGCAGAAGAGACCAAGATCCCGTACCTTGACTGCCGTCCACGACAAGATCTTGGAAGACTTGGTTTTCCCAACCGAAATTGTTGGTAAGAGAGTCAGATACTTGGTTGGTGGTAACAAGATCCAGAAGATCTTGTTGGACTCCAAGGACTCCTCCGCTGTCGACTACAAGTTGGAATCTTTCCAGCAAGTCTACTCTAAGTTGACCGGTAAGCAGGTCATCTTTGAGATCTCCGGTGAAAACGTTTACTAAATATTCCCTATTTAAAATAAGAATCAATTTTACCTTCCTGAACAAAATTTTGAACTGACGGTTAACAGGTTTATCATGCTTTGTCACCCTCTTTCTTTCTGTTTTTACTTTTAAATAATAATATTTCATTTTGTAATCCACATATCCTTTGTTTCTGTAGGTTCACGCTACGGGCTAGAGATTTTTATTCTAAGTGATTCGTAAGGTGCTGACCCCGGGACTGTAATGGCAATAACTAATTTTTTTAATGATTGTTTTACATATTTTTATAAATTATAATTAAGGAACTTTAATCCAGGTTTCATAACCAAAAAAAAAAGACTCCCGAAGTGAGAGTACCTATGAATGAATGAAGAAATGCAGGTTATGACACACAGGGGTGCGCAGGTTTAGGCATGTGCGGTATGTCCATGGACAAAGTTATTGTAGGCGATTGAGCTATCAAGGATAGAGAAAGAATCATCTTCAAGCACAGGCTTCGCTGAGAAATCAATCTTCTTCAACTTATGATTATCGGTCAAGTCAACTTCGCTATGGTACAGTCCCTTTCTTCGTGACCGTTCCTGTTCATGCAACAATTGCTGGATTAAAGGATTGTCCATGTTGATCTTCAACTTTGGTGAGGAAGTGGCAGCTGGAGGGGCCGGAATTTCTAGTCTATGCCTTGGAATACTGCGAAGCGGTCTCGCCAGGAGTATCGACGTCCTAGGACTCGTTGACTTATACGGAGCCTTCCGCTTCGGGCTAACTATCGAATTTAGCTTTGGCAATGAAGTTTGTAGGTTGTATGAGGGGCTGAGATCAGTGCCGTGAGACTCGGCGAGTGATGCAGAGTCAGACACCAATTCCAGAGCGCCAGATAAATCCTCCACTTGCTTAACCCCCAATGTCATCGGTAAAACATATCTCACGGCAAAGAATAACCCTCCGACAATGAGACCCAACCGAAGGGCGTGAATGAGAAAGTCAAGCCAGACAATGCAACACTCCAAAATGGCTTCTTTCAGCCACATAATCCAGACGCCAAGCAGGAACCCAACTCCCAACGAATTGAGGTGAACCTTGAGGGCGTATTCAGGCTCGTTGATCATCACTTTGTGTAGGAACGTTGTACCAGAAAACGTAGCAAAGGAAGCAGAGATCTTGCTCACAGGGCTCATGGCAGTTGAAAGTGCTGGCTTATTCAGTGGCGGGGCGGGAGGCAAGTTAATGGTCTTACTATTGGAGGTGTCTGACATCTCTATGTCCACAGACATTGCCCTGGGCTTTCTGTTCGGATATTTCGAGGCGTCACCGTACTCCAACTCCACCGTCGCGGCACACTCCATCAACTCGTCGCCGTTGTCAATCGTGTGTCTTCTTCCAACCGGTTCCATATCCAAAGTCTTGGATGGTCCGTTCCGGCTCAAAGGAAGGGATTCGATCAGCTTCTTGGTAGAACGTGTGACTGGCGGGGTGACGAACAAGTCTGTAAGGGTTTTGGAGCGGTTCTTCATGGTTGACCTTGGCTTCGCTTGAGCTCTGGTATCGTCCAGCCTTTTGGAAACAAAAGAGGTCTTAGACATGATGTGGTGGGTTCCTTTGGCGGTCGATTTGAGTGACTTGAATGGCAAATAAGGGGGCGTGAAGTCGCAAACACGCTAAAATAGGAGGCCAGTTCCGGGAGCGTAGACAAACCTTGAGCCTCCTGAAACGAAGTTTATATTTTCGTGAGTTTGGTTCTGGAGACGCCTTTAGGCTCAGATTTCTACTGTCTCGTCGTTTAACACCACTGACTGACTGTCATGCTAGGTCTCCTTGTCCAGCCATTTTTCGTCCCCCAGGAAACTCTATCTCATGCTTTGAAAATTTCACTGCCGCATCTGGGTGCGAGTGGCGGTGAAGCGCGTCATGCACGAGGAGTAATGCGGTTTGTCTTGTCCAGCCCATCTCCATTCCCTCCTTCAATAAATTGGCATGTCTAGTCGTAGCCTCTATCCTGCTACGTGAGTCTGAGAAGTAAACCCCATTTAAACAAAGTCAACTGCCTAGTGATGGGGTTTGTGAAACCACTCTGGGTGCTGCAAAAGGAGTCTCCAGGCTGAGGCGTGTCTACGTCCATGTAACTAACAGAGTTTAGTGCCAGAGGTGGTTGAATGGGCAATCACTGAATAGTCTCCTATCTATCGGCGCTATTCAAGCCACACCGATCTCTGTTGTGTCTGACGGACGTCCCCTGGTCCCGTGACAATACATTTGGATTGTGCATATGAGATGCTGTGTGTTGACGTTTTTCCGTATGTGGAAAAACCAAAACCGCATGATTAAGCATCTCATGCAAGTACGTCACGGTATGAACCACAACGGTGGTAGCTGCATAGTCTGAAGTCTTGGTGTTTGATACGGAGGCGGGGTTCCTGAGGACCTTGCAGATGGTGCGTAACCATACTTTTAGCCGCTTTAACCCATCATGCACATTTGCCCCTGGAAGTGACGTTTGTACTGATAAGCTTTCTAGTTCTCACGCATGGTAAAGCTACTTGGGAAGCGGATGTTATAGAGCTACCAATCACTGACGCTTACATACCCGACATATCACGGGTCTCCACTATCTCCTAGATTGGGAAATTGTGATAACCTGGTAAAATGTCAATGATCGTTGTTTCCACACATCAATGCATTTCAGACGTAATACCTGGGTTTAACCTCGTAGAAACCAACCTATAATCTGAAGTGTCGTATCGTTTCGTAGGGGTATTTTTGGGTAGAATAAGTATAGTGTTTTCCCATCAAATTTAACTAGATGGGATGCTTTGTAATTATAAGCAAGTAAGGGAGGAAGGATACTAGGTATATTGCACAGTGCTCTGTGAGCTCGGAGAAATGTTTCAGCGTACCATTTCATATAAAAATTTTCCATATTGTATCGTTTACTTTTTTATTAGACATGAAAAATTCTATCAGGCTAGTTTGGTCTTTCGCTGGCAAAGGTGGCCGCAACGATCAATGGGAAGACGACGGTGACATCAGCGTAGACCTTGACCATTCTGGCATCACTCTTGATCTTACCCCAGGAAACAGCTTCGTCTGGTCTGGCGCCGGCATCGGAACCATCAAACTCCTGGCCGGTATTGATAAAGACAGCCCAGTCGGCACCGTTTCTCATCAAGTTGGCATTACAGATGTGGTGCTTGATCAAGCCACCGCCCAACAAGAGTATCCCGGATCTGTTAGCAGCCATGGCCTGCGAGTTAATGCGTCTGATATCGCCAACAATGTCCAAGGTGAGCTGCTGGGGAGAGGACTTGAAGGTGTGGAAGAACAACATGTCACCGATGGATCCGTCGGTGAGGGCTGGACAGTAGATCGGGATCTGGTTCTTATAGGCCCAGTATAAAACAGAGGTTTCGTCGTTAATCTCCTTCCCCAATCTGGCAATCAACTTGGAAGGCGTCAAAACGACATTGTTCTCTGGGTTCAAGACATCCGCAGCAGAGCCCTTCACGAGCTCGGCCTTGGCGTTCTGCTCCTCCAAAAGCGTGTCCAAAATTGGAACAATCCACTCCTCAAACTTGCAGTAGTTGTCGTTTGGAACCAACAAGTTACCGATTCTGTTCATCCCGTCGTCTCTCAACTTCTTCCCAGGCAATGCAAAGGCACCCATGTAGGTTGGCGCCAAACACTTGATGATATCCTCCTCAATCCCACCGGCGGACGCTACAATGGCATCTACCTGCTTGTGCTGAACCATGTATCTCAAGGTATCTCTTAACCCGGAACTTATAAGGTTGGAAGTGTACCCCATGAAGATGGTGGCTCTCTGACGGCCCTCAGCATCGAAGTCCCCCTGGATGGTTTCATCCTTCGCCTTCAAAGCGTCAATATGCTCACCTCTCCAAGATCTCATTTCATCAATAATGTTACAGGCCTCGGAGACAGAGGACCCCTGGAACCCCATAGTGCTCATTGACTTGACCAAGTCCTTAGCGGCCATGTTGTAAGATGCATCCTGCGAGTAGTCGATACCTCTGACGATGCGAGCATCTTCAGGAACAGGTGCGGATGCCACAAATACTGCATCGGTGGCTAAATCTGGACGGTGTTGATCACTCATTGTGTGTGGAATGGTCAAAGGAATTACTATCAGTGTCCCTTATTACCAGTTCTGTACTTTCACAAATCCTTTTATGCACAGTTTTTCCAATTTTTTTCACCCCAACTAGGCAGGCGCATGCGGCAAAAAAAATGCATGTATAGTCACGTGCTCTGAAAAATTATGCCAAAGTTTGGCATCACTTATATCCATGCTAGATAAGATAAGCCTTGTAGTGCCAACGCGGATCAACCCCAATGTCCCAAAATATCGAGGATATCGACGACCCATCGGTCAGGGAGCAGATCTTTGTCCACGACATTTACAACCACATTGCACCGCATTTCTCACAGACTAGATACAAGCCGTGGCCGATTGTGGAGGACTTCCTTCTAACCCGCTCCAAGGGGAGTGTGGGCATTGACGTTGGATGTGGCAACGGAAAATACTTGGTTGTGAATAAAGACATTTTTATTGTGGGCTCTGACAGGTCGTCTGGGTTAATTGACCAGGCCAGCCAAATCAACAGACGCGGTCATAACGATATTTTGGTCAGCGACGGGATGCGTTTACCCCACCACGAAAACCTGTTTGACTTCGGTATCAGCATTGCGGTGATTCACCATTTCTCCACCGATGAAAGAAGAGTTGCTGCCATCAAGCACATTCTCCTGAAACTCAGGTCTGGCGGGGAGGTGTTGATCTACTGCTGGGCGTTGGAGCAGGAAAAGTCCCGTAGAGGGTACAAGGAAGGCGACCCCCAAGATGTGTTAGTCCCATGGATCTTGCAGGCCAACAAGAAGGCTGAGAAAAAGGTCAGGCCGCAAAGACAGAAAAAACAGCGTCCGATGGCGGGGAGCCTGGAATCAGGGCCTGTAGAAGAACCATTGAGAGAACCGGCGCTGGAAGAGAAGGAAGGGGTTCCAGAAACCAAAATGAGATACTATCACTTGTACAAGAAAGGTGAGTTAATTGAGAACGGTGAAAAGGCTGGAGGACTTGTCGTGCGAGACGGGTACGAGAGAGACAACTGGTGGATTGTCCTTAGAAAGCCATAGAATGTATGGTATTGTTTAAAGATTGAGACAATGAAAGGTGTTTGTTGTGGGATTGGGCGTGACTCGAGTTATTGGACTACTAGAAGCGGCAGTTTTGTGGTCTAAGCCATGGCCAGTCTCTGGTTGATTATATGCTTTTCTCAGCTTTTATAAGTGTTTTTAGACATGACTTTTGAACTGGGGGATCCAAAGACCTCCTATTTACCTAGTTTAGCTAAATTTTGTCCCCGTTATTTGTTATACATATTTGTAGAAGCCCAGATAAGCGGAAACGTCTCGGTCTCGAGCTAACTCCATACTCACGTAGGACATAAAATTATATAAGTCAAACCATGCCTCTCCCAGTAGATCATATAGTTGCCGGCAATAATCAAAGATATCGTAAGCACGTAAAAAACGACTAATAATATATTCATGATAGAGCAAAATACGTAGTCAACGTTGATCGCCAGTATAACGGGATACTATTACATATGTTCCGCATCGCCATGCGGCTCCATCCGGTACTAATGCTAACATACCATCACCTCTGCACTTTTGTTAATCATGGAATTCATGATTAACAAACTACAAAGTTCAAAAAATATTCCTATAAACCTCGTAATAAATATACCAACGATCAAATATTCCCAAATACCCACAGCCTGAACCAGCCTTTAACTCCTACATAAGCACCCCCCTGTGCGGCTCATTTAGCCAGCCTCTTAACCTCATTGGTACATAAGCGCAAAAGCAGCCACAATTGCTTCCTGTTCTTTACCACTTCTTTCCGCCATGACTCTTTCCACAAAACGACGTATGTCAGACTTGGAATCCCTCATTCTGGAGAAGCCGTCTCCGCGGGCCAAAAAAAGACGGAGCGTGTTACACGCTCTCTTTCGGTCCAAGCTGTTTAGCCGCAACGTAATTGTCGCAGGGTTGCTCATCACGGTTCTCTGGGGGTCAGCGTTCCTTATTTTTGCCATTTCTTACCTCCAGTCGAGCCTTGGGGCCTCCACGTTGGTCGTCTTAACGCCCTGGGCGCCGGGTGAGCATACCGTGAGCCACAGTCAGAGCCACAAGCTCCGGCCGTTGCTGTTGGCGAGCCAAGATGGCTTGCCGCTTACGCTAGAGGCGATGAGAAGCCGGAAGTTTAGTCCGAACCATAAATCGATCCAGTGGATTGTCACGGACTCGAATTACGACTCGGGCTCCTACGTGATGGAATCAGAGTCTGAATACACCATCAAATCCGTCCGTGACAGCTCTCACGTGGTGTTGTATAAAGGCTCCACCATCACGTACAAAGAGGAGAAGTACACTATTGGTTCATTCGAAGCCAGCTCTGACTTGAAGTACGCGTTGATCACCACCGATAAGGTACCGAACTGGCGCCACTCCTCGTTTGCCTTTCACTGGCTCTTGAACATTGAGACCCAGCAGATCGAGCCACTATTCCCTAACAAGCCGAAAGCGGGAATTGCGGTAGCACAGTGGTCGCCAAAGTCGTCGCATGTAGCCTTTGTGTTGGATAACAACGTGTACATCCGCGATGTCCACTCCGAAGAGGTTGTTCAGTCCACCACGGACGGAGGTGAGGATATCTTCTACGGCAGACCCGATTGGGTATACGAAGAGGAGGTCTTTTCCGGTGCCTCAGCCATATGGTGGTCCCCATCGGGCGATTTTTTTACGTTCTTGCGCACGGACGACGCGTTGGTACCGGAATTTCCAATTCCCTATTTTGTTCAGCACGAAAAAGACCAGCCAGAGGCAGACTATCCCGAGGTCCGCAAAATCAAATACCCGAAACCGGGCTACCCCAACCCCATAGTTAGCCTCATGGTCTACACCGTTGCCCAAAAGCAGACCGCCGCGGTTCCTAGCCCCGACAAGCACAGCTTGATCACAGAAGTCACATGGGTGGGTGCTGGTTCCTTCCTTGTCAAGCTCACCAACCGCGAAAGCGACGTGTTGCAGATAAGTCTCGTAGACGCTGCCTCTGCCAGCTCGGCTATCGTCAGAAAGGAGGACGCTTCGGGCAAAGAGGGCGGTTGGTTTGAGATCACTCAGGAGACACTCTACGTGCCTAAAGACGCTGACAACGGCAGAGCAGAGGATGGGTATATCGACACCGTGGTCGTGGATGGGTACAACCACTTGGCGTACTTCTCTCCTCCGTCAAACCCCAAGGGGGTGACCTTGACTTCGGGCGCATGGGAGGTGGTCGAAGCTCCAGCAGCATTCGATCACAGCCGCAACACCGTGTACTTCCTTGCCACCAAGCGGTCAGCCATGGACAGGCATTTGTACTCGGTGGGTTTGGACGGCTCCAACTTTGCCAACTTGACAGACACCTCTACCGACGGCTGGTATCTGGCTTCGTTCTCCACTGGGGCACGCTACGCAGTGCTCAGTTATTCTGGGCCGAATGTTCCGTCCCAAGCGTTGGTCGACTTCCACGACCACTCCCAGACCGTTCTCGAGACCAACCCCGACGTGGCAAAAGCCTTGCAAGAGTACGCCATTCCAAGCACCACGTTCGAGACGATCAAGCTCGGCGAGGAGAAGGAATATGGCGAGATATGGGCCAATTCCATGGAGATCAAGCCGCCATCATTCGATCCGACAAAGAAGTACCCCGTTTTGTTCTACGTCTACGGCGGCCCTAACTCGCAGTTGGTGACTAAGAACTTTGCTGTAGGTTTCTCACACGTCATCAGCAGTGCGCTCGACGCGATTGTGGTCACCGTCGATGGCAGAGGAACCGGCTTTATGGGACGCAAGTTCCGTGCGATTGTGCGCGACAACTTGGGACATTACGAGGCACGCGACCAGATCAGTGCTGCAAAGCTCTGGGCCAAGAGGGCGTACGTCGATGAGACGCGTATCGGAATCTGGGGCTGGTCTTACGGTGGTTTCATGACGTTAAAGACGTTGGAGACCGACGCCGGAAACACCTTCCGCTACGGCATGTCTGTAGCTCCCGTCACCACCTGGCGCTTCTATGACTCCATCTATACCGAGCGGTACATGCACACGCCAGACCACAATGCACACGGCTACCAGAAATCGGCCGTTACCAACGTGACAGCCATCGCGCAGGCCTCGCGCTTCTTGTTGATGCACGGTACAGGAGACGATAACGTTCACTTCCAGCACTCGTTGAGACTCTTGGACTTGCTTGACTTGGACGGCGTTGAGAACTACGATGTTCATGTTTTCCCTGACTCTACCCACAGCATCAGCCATCACAATGCCAACACCATCGTGTATGATAAGTTGTTTACGTGGATACGTCAGGCGTTTGACGGGGACTTTGAAGAAAAGCCGAAGAAAGTTCCCGAAGCGCTAGCTATTTAGAAGAGTATTATGTTTTTTATTGCCAATACGTAGAAGCAGACAGGGACTCGGGGGGGTTGTTTGGTACCGTAGAGAGAAGGCATAGGTTTTTCGAAATGTTATTGGTAAAACCAAGAGTTGCCAAGATTCTGGTGCCTGTTGGGATTCCAGTCAGGGGCCGTGGTCGGTAAACCGATTCGCAAGATACTACTACGATCTTCCACAATAAAGATAATATTAAACTAACATCATATCCAAAACCCGGAAGCCCACTTACTTATATAGTCTCCTCCAGTTTCTCATTATTTTACTCGTGCTAGAGGATCATTTCAGGTATCCGCTATCACCCAACCCTAGTAACCTCACGTAATACCTCATAATGTTTCCGAGCCACCCTTCTATTCGTGAAAAAAAGCCACGATTAGGGCGTGTGGCGTAGTTGGTAGCGCGTTCGCTTAGCATGTGAAAGGTCTCGGGTTCGACTCCTGACTCGTCCATATCTTTTTGACTTCGAAAAAAAATAACAAGCCGGCCGTTGGCGCGTTAAACTTCTCAGCTTTCACTATTTAAGACTATAACTAAAATAAATATTTCGTAATATTAGAATCTTTATAAGTTTGGTAGAGGTTAACTATATCAAAGGGAGAACAGATATACAATATACAAGAATTCTCAGCCCAGACAAGTCGCTTAGAACTTCTGGCCGAAGACGAGGACCTGCAACTGATCGTACATGGAGATAACACCGGCACCGGCGACACCTCTCAAGATGTTAGCACCACAACCCTTGAACAAGGACTTGACACCTTCAGCGGCAACAACCTTCTTGAAACAGTCGAAAGCACCGGCGTACTTGACGGCTTGACCGGAGGTCATCATCATTCTTCTTCTAATGGTGTCCAATGGGTAAGAAGCAGTAGAGGCACCAGTGGTGACAGTCCAACCCAACAAGAAAGAGGCCAAGAAAGAACCTTCCAATGGACCAACCAAGACAACAGGCTTCAAGGAATCGTACAAACCGAAGTAAAGACCTCTGTAGACAATGATCCCGATAACAGATGGACCGAAACCTCTGTACAAACCGGCGATACCATCGGACTTCAAGGTCTGCTTGTAGACATCGAACAACCCGTTGAACTGACGAGCACCACCGTCCTTAGACTTGGCGTCGTTAGCCAATCTGGTTCTGGCGAAATCCAAAGAGTAGACGAAAGCCAAAGAAGTGGCACCAGCAAGACCACCGGAAGCCAAGTTACCGGCGAACCATGGCCAGTAACCCTCAGACTTCTTGAAACCGAACATAGCCTTGAACTTATCCTTGAAAGCGAAGTTCAAAGCCTGGGTTGGGAAGTAACGGATAACGTTGGCGGTGTTACCTCTCCAGAAAGAGCCAAACCCTTCCTCGGCAGAGGTTCTTCTGAAACACTCGACAATACCGTCGTACTTTCTAGACAAACGACCCTGCTTGATCATTTCATCCTGGTTTTGAATCAACAACTTGACTCTTTCAATTGGGGCAGCAGCGGTCTTAGAGACAGCGGCGGAAACACCACCCATGAAGAAATCGATAATGAACTTGGTAGTACCGTCGGTAGTAGACATCTTTAAAGTTTATGGATACAGAGAAAAAAAAGAGAAAAGAAGAAAGAAAAAAAAAGTGGGACAAGAGAGAAATATATAGGGGAAGGGGTGAGAAATTACCACGACACCGCTCTCCTCGCTACTGCCCTGGGTGAAAAATTGGTCTCTTTTTTTTCGACATCCGAACTGGACGCGCTCATTGGCCAGGCCGGCATTAGTGTTCCGAGGGTCCGCGCCCAGACGTGCATGCTGCGGGCTCAGAACCGTATATTTCCGGGCCACATGCTCACTTTGTGACGGTTACAGAGCTGTATCTTTCATGTATGTGGTTTGTGTGTTTAACGATTATTGAGGATAATTAGTTTAAGCTACTTGGGTAAGTTGTGGTGTGTTCCCATGGATATACCGTTCAAGTAGCCTGAGTGGTTATTTCCGAGCTTATCCGTAATTCCCCGTGTAGACTCTGCAGTTGATCGCTTTGCTCACCGTTCTGTAACCAGTGAAGCATGCACACGATACCGAGATCGATGCAACCAGGCATGAAAGGGAAGAGGGAAAAGCTCCGGGAGTTGTCGGGCAACACGCCCGATATCAACACGCCGTGCATATCACTACTATTGATGATTTCTCCAGTGGTATCCTTGTTTCTTTTTATACTGTGGTAGGTACCTCAAGCCCCCAAGCATGGATCTTGGAAGCAATAATTATATTGCCAATCAGTGGTCGCTAAGAAGGAGGGTATTTTCCACAGTTTGAGCCCCATAAAATGAAATGGTTATGAGATGCGCGATTAGTTTCTTTTTTTGCCGGAAATTGAGTTTGGTCCTCGATCGGACCTCGGAGCGCCTAAAACCTCAAAAAAAAAAACAGTAAGCGAGAATTAAGGTATGATCCAAATTGAGATGTTTCCAAGCTGTCAACTGACAAGATACCCAGAAGAGACTATACTTGCGTGAATGTGTCACCTCCGAGGTGTTGATATTCGAGTCTCCGTAACAGCTAGGATTGAATCAAGTATCGGAGTCTCGGCCATGTGGAGAGAGCACGATCGTGGATCGCTAAGTTCGCCGGAGATGTGTGGCTGTGCACACGCAGATGTGGCGCAAGTGATTAGTGTTGTTTTTCCCCGCATACATACACGCGTCAGTGTCAAGATATGCAGATGGATACAGATCCATCGATCTAAATACGTCAATTTATCACATGTATACCAAGACAGTTTACGTGCTGGATCTGAAGGTATTAATCCGTCGAAAAGTGTATATATAGGCCAAGCGGTATAATTGTGAGTAGAGTACTATTTAGATTGTATGTGTAGCACATACAAATTTCATGGAATATTCAATACTTGTGAATGAATAACTTTTATTAAACAGTAATCAGTGCTTTTATATATTCGCATCTCATATATTAAATCAATACAACTCATATCAATATAATGATTAGATAGAAGCAAAAGTCTATCCAATAAATATCCTTACTCCTTTTATGCTTTTGGAACGGAACTCTAAATGGTTTACGAGCAAAATATATGCCCAGATATATATTTCTTTTCGGTGGCTTACGTTATGTACACTATACGTTATGTTTCGCAGTAACACGACCGATTTTCATTTTTTCGGCACGGAATTCCGATAATAAATTTGTCAGACTAGGAAAAATGCTGAACCCCAGGCTTATGTACAGTCTGTTTGTACCAGAGAGAGCCCCATGAGCCACATCCTTCCAGCTCTTCCTTCACAGTGGCACGCGACTGGATCCAATCGGATGTTTGTGTTTGTGATTCAATTTTAGTACATATCTGACTCCAAATGCACCCAATTGGAACCCATTTAGCGTCAAACTGGATGCTGATTCTTCATTGAACCGATGCCCATATTCCAGGTTACACTCAAATTTCCTTGCCCGTTGGAACTCTGTTCGGGAACTACATTAGCATAACGCACCAGTTTTGAATATTGTATCGCTCGTTTTCACTTCCCCCAATGCTCTCCCTGCCGAGGTCTCCTGTTTCGGCGTATGACGAGTGCCGTTCTCCATCTCTCAGGAGCATTTATTCGAGTTTAGCTATATCTCCGACAACTATGTACGAAAGAAGACACTGTTTGCTCAAGAAAGCTCCTTCTATCTTCAACCTTAGTCGAAAAATTTCCAAGGTGAAGCGATCTGGCTGGACCCTTTTGTTTGCAATTGCGGCCATCGCCTTGTGCTTCCAGTCGCATTGGACTGAGCTATGGTTTGGAGCCAGGGCTCAGGACAGTATCTCGGCCAAGGACCTCGAAGATCTTGGAACGGTCTCCCCTGGGGTCAAGAGTTTTGTCTCGCGGTCATTTTTCCCCTCCAGTATGGTTGAATACCTTATCCCCCGCAGAGACTTGCAAGTCTACAGTTCCACTGCTTACTATCAGCATTTTAGCATGGACTACGACCCTCGCTTAGCTCCAAGCTTGTGGTTGAACGTCTTTGGCCATTCTTACAGTGGCAAAATCAATCCCCGCTTCAAGCTCCCCTTCAGTTGGTCGTCATGGGTCGATTTTGACTCGGGAATCGAAAGCGCTGTCAACCAGGTAGAGCACAAACTCACCTGTGGCGCCTTCAAACGGCTATACAAGATTGACCACGAGCTAACCCGGTGCGAAGACAAGCGTGGAAAGAAGATGGCCAAGTTTGTGGGATACCAAACCGAAAGTCTATCGGGGGAGGCCAGACGTTATATCGGGAGCTCCTACATGAAGTTTTCTGCCCCTCCCCCTGAGAGAGTCATGTTTTTGGGAGTTATTCTCGAGGGAGCACTCATAATACCGGTGGATAAGACAAGGAGCCCTTCCAACGGTGATTTGTTTGATCTCGCAGAGCTCAGTGGCTTGTACATACAGAATGAGATGGCCAGAAGCGGGCTGAGCGCTTTCGATGTGATCAAAGAGGGTGTTTCCCATAAACGACAGGTTGCTATGGTCTCCCGAAAGGTCTCCGGGGGGTTTGAGGATACCGCTGGTATTGGGGCTCCAGAGAATATCACCACAGATATCACGAGGATTGTCAGCCATGAGACGACCGAAGCTGCGGATTTGGTCCACTTGACAAAAAATGAATTCTTCTGGGATACCAACGCTAAGCTTACTGAATTGAAAGTGGAGGCAGGGGAATTAGATTTGGATATGCGCTTGCTCTGTGCCATGGAGAGGGAATTAGCCATAGCCCCTAACTTCACAAAGTACTTCCACGAAGCGCCGATAAGTGGGAAGCCAGGGGGAGGCCATCACTTTGACTGGAGGTTCTTCAAGAGCGCCCAGCTCTCGGACTACGAACGCCAGGCCGCGCTTCACCGTATGACCCGTGCGTGGTTGCGGTTTGTGGAGACGGCTGGCTTAAGGTCGTGGCTTGCGCACGGAACGCTTTTGGGGTGGTACTGGAACGGCCTCAACATGCCCTGGGACGGCGACGTTGATGTTCAGATTACGATGGAATCGTTGTACAAGTTGGCAAGGGAGTACAACCAGACATTGGTGGTGGACTACACCTCCACCAAGGGCGAAGACAGCACTATGGCTCTGAATGCTGCGGTTGGATCATATTTGATCGATGTAGGCCCTAGCTTCTTCTCTCGGCTTAGGACCAACGGGGAAAATACGATCGATGCCCGGTTTATCGACACCGCTACAGGGCTTTACGTTGACATCACGGCGCTAGCGTTTACGGACGCCTCACAGCCTGACGGTGCCATGACAAAAGCGAACCGACGCGAGTTGAATGCTTTACTCGACGAAAACTTCAGCGGCCGCGAAGCGACGCTCAGAAACGACCCCGCTTACCAGAACCGGTTGAGCTCTGTGCATTCCGAATTATTTTCGAGACAAGAGTTGTTCAACTGCCGGAACAACCATTTCTACGCGTTAAGCGAGTTAAGCCCGTTGGTGCCTACGCTATTCGAGGGCGTTCGATCGGTGATTCCTCGCCAGTTTGAACCAATGTTGAAGCGAGAGTACAAACGGGGCCTCACAAACTTGGAGTTTGATGAATACCAATTCAAGCCTGTGTATCGGCTCTGGATACCCAAAACCGTCTGCCCCAATGATAGAACCGGTGGAGAGGAATGCGGCAAACGAATTGCGTCGAGAAGGACCAACCGAGATACCAAGGTTGAGTTGATGATTACCGGTGCCTACGTCGAGAATCACTACCGTGAGAAAGAGATTATGCGGATGAAACAGTCTTTTGTGGGGTACCGCAAGGTGGATGAGTTTCCCTGTTTTAGGGTCGATCCGTGGGTCATCAAACGCACGAAAAAGGCGATAGAATTGTTAGATAAAGGCTAGATGTTTCCGCATTTAAGAGGTTTGCTAGCTTGTCAATATATCCATGAACAGATCACCGTAATTATTTTATGATAGGGCTGAAACTTTGGGTAGGCCCCAATTGATTTCCTCTCTTCACAGTGGATTGCAACACTGGCGGAAGTGTACTTCAGGCCATTTGACGACACGACTAAACTTGCACAGCCCTAAGCATGTACATCAACACTAAATAAAAAGTAATTCACCGAGCTGGAGACGAGGTTATCGGCATAGAGGAGGGTTCGTGTGGGGCAGACCTGCACGAAGCTATATGTAAGTCCAGATGCATGGAAGCCTAGCAATCGTTTAGCATTCTAGACGGTCTAATTGCCGTGTTTTGGGATGGCCTTTGATGGTTTCAGATTGAAATAGTTCCTTTAATTTCAGTCAAAGAGAAGTTCTAACCCTCGGATTTATTTCCATATCAGCGTACTCTAAGCACACAAACTAAGCCTTGGCCTAGAGCATCCGATATTCGCTTTGGCACTCCCACACTGGGCCATGAGCTTACTCCAATGAGGGATTATAGCCGTGTACCTCAACACTCCAATAGTGCGAATTAAACTTAGGTGTGCACTATAGCCAGGGGTGTGTAGCCTGCTATCTATTCCTATCATACACTGGACAATGGCAGGCTCAGGGTAATCAACGTTTTCCCCTTTAGGAAATGATCAGCTGAGGTTTTCCGATACATCGATCTAGAACGCTAGAGATTTTTAGACTGCAGTCGGTAGCTGAGCGATATAATACTACCCGGAATATGAGATAAGTCCGATATCCGCATCCACAGGATGCCTCCAGGTCCAACGGATAATACGAGGACCTATCTCGTTCTATATCAATAATTGGGTCATCTCGTCTCTCTATCTAAGACTACCAATAGAAATCTTTACGGCATATCAGTTCCGCGGTCGGATACAGCTTTGTCCGCGCTAGCGTTGGCCGCCCACACGAGCCAGCCGTTCCGTTCGAACTGGATAGTTGGCACCACTTCCAGAAAGGCCACGGTAAAACGTAGCGAGCAATTGAACAGAGTGAGAGATTAAAGGCCAGAACAGTGTTTGCCAATGGCGGCGAATGGGATTTAACCCCCATGCATGGGTGGTCCTTCGACAACCTAAACGGTATGCATACTCACATCATGCCACCATGCCACAGATAGCGGCAGACATTGGAGTAAATTGACGTAGCTTGCGAACGCAGAATCGGGCGACTTTGAGGCAAGCACACGCCACGGAACTGCCATAACAGTATAAATAAGGAGATATAATATCTTTTATACAAGCAAGGGTTTTGTTTTATAGCGGCAGAGGACCAGCCAAAGTGCCTTGATAAGGTTCTTATATGACGGACAGAGGCGGCAGGGGGGGCAATTGGGCCCTCTCAGTAACGCGCACTGCACCGCGTCCGTAGCAGTACGAGCATGATTTAAACGAAGGTGCCACGGGGAGGGGACGCTTTATGTAGACGCAGAGGCCTGCACCTTGAGATAGCCCAACATGTGCGTTGCGTTCGATTACGCGATAATCGGCCTATACGCAGGTTGAAGCCGTCAAGGTAGTGGAACCTACGTTGTGTAATAAATTGAGAATTGAGTTTGAAATTGCGCACTGCAATTACCAGCGATTACACTTCGGGTATCTCGACACTTTTATAACTCAACACATTGATCCTTCTTCTAAAAACAACCTCAACCAAATTCATTTTTTGCCGTCAGAGCAACCACTTATTTCTTCAGAGAAAGAATCAACTTTCTATCTCCGTTCTATCGGTATCTTTAATCTAGCCCAACAAATTCTCCCGAAGAGTTTCGAGCCGAATTGAAACAAACCAATTTTCCGTAAAAGCAAAATCCAATTGAAAGTTATACGTGCTTTACATCATATCCGTGTGACCAATTGAAATCCCGCACCAATTGACCCAGCTGCCACCAGTTGCACCGTCAAGTTTAATCTCAGTTCTATCCAGCTCACGCCTTTGAGTTCCCACTCTTTCCGGGTCCTAGCCTTTCTTCTCCCCCCACCTTACTCTTTATTGTCTTCCCTCACATGCTCAAGACCAGCCACCCGTTCGTCTTGGAACCGGACTCTGACCACGACTGGCTCAACTTCCAGTTCAACAACTTGCAATTCAACCCTATTGAGGGTCCTTTGGACCTCCTCTCCACCTCCCACTTGGCTGGCTTGACCGGCGCTGGAGATCAGCTTTTCAAGCATGATGACACGGACAACATGCTTGACAGCTTTGTACTTCCGCTCCATTCCGACTACTTTTCTTCTGCTGACGATGCCTCCACCTCGCCGTACTCGCAGACGGACGAGAGCGTCTCTACTTCCCGGCCCGAAACCTCCGAAAGCGATCTTAGCTTGCTTCCGCCGTTTTCCGCGGCCAGCTCCGTGTTTGACGACAAGAGCTTTCTGTTTGGCCCACCCCAGAGACACCACTCGCTTCCGCTTATTTACGAGGTGCCTGCCGTGGGCAGCCCAACCACCGTAATAGGCAGCCCAACCACTGTAATGGGTACGCCTGCAATGATGGGTACGCCTGCGACGATGGGTACCAACGCCTCTGGGCTTACCCCTTCGCTCATGACTACCCCCACCACCCCCATCCGCCTCCCCTACTACCCCTCGCTGATGTTCAAGACCAACATAAACGACGAGCCCAGAACGATCAACCCGCTTCAGTTGCTCGATCTTGCGAACGTGCGTACAGAGACACTCAGCTCGCCGGTGGCCGCTGAAACCACCCAGATCCTCTACAACAGCCCCAGCGATGATAAGAAGCGGAACCGTTCCGAAATCGTGGGAAGCACGTCCAAGTTGGACTTTCGGATGAACGACGAATGCGGCTCAGCCATCAGCCACTTCATCCAGAATAACCCCGCGTCGCCACCGGCATTAGTCCGGGTTAACGACGTGTCGCCGGGCGCCTTGCGGCGAAAGAGCGTGTCACGCGTCGCGGTGTCACGGCGTGGAAGCGTGGACGACAAGGGCCGTAAGAGACGCAAGTCGGTGAGCGTTGAAAGTCCCGTACTTGTGAAGTCGGCGTCGGCGCTTGACGTGAGTCGAGCAGTTTTTGTAAATTCGTTTGAGGCAGACATCGAGGCGAAGGCGGACGCTGCGGGCAGCGAGTCCATTCCCCAAGGAAACGACATCGTGGCGGCTGCCTTGGTGGCTAAATCGGCCCAGGACCCAGCCGAGATCCCCGATGAAGATAAACCGTTCCCGTGTCCCGATTGCACCAAGGTGTTTAAGCGGATGGAGCACTTGAAGCGGCACATCCGGTCGGTCCACTCGATGGTGCGGCCGTTCCCGTGCACATTCTGCGAGAAGAAGTTCTCGCGGTCAGATAATCTTGCCCAGCATCTTAAGACCCACAAGAAGGAGCAGGAGAAACGCGAAGAGATAGCGAATGAGTGATGGATGAATGATTGGTATGTTCATGGAACGGGTTTGGTTGGTGAGTACTTTTGAATGTTCAGAAGCCAGATCATTGATCCATTATATTTATCGTTTTGGACTATCCAGTTGTTTCCGTGCCATCGGACAATTTCCTCCATCACTAATTTGTTGAAAATTGATTCATTACATGCTAGCTATTGAACCATTTTTCCATTTAGTTTTTGTTATGCCGAACTACCGATAAATTTGTTTTAGTCGTCCCCGCTAAACCATTGACCCCACCCTTTCACCAGATAACCACTTCTATTTCAAACGCCCTGTTATTGATTCAATTCGTTTATTCACCCAAATGCTAAACGATCTTTTCATCACAACCACCCCATCTTTAGTGACTCGATCAGTTTCTGTTTCACTAACGGCTCACCCACAGAAAACCACGGCCCACGCTATTTTTGGCACTTCGTCTTTTCATGGTATTTACCCTTTTATGCTTCTCATGCTTTGGTCAGGCCACATTCGTTTTACTCTTGACCTCTTGCGAACGCTATTTAGGCTTCAGCGACTCCTCTTCTAAAAGTTATGCTCTCTTTCTTTCTCTTGGTTTCCGTTTTATGATATTTTATCTACTGATTTCATTTCTATCCTCCATGTATAGGTGCTTTTTACCGTACCAATCTTGCCCAAAAGGATTATTCTAACAGATTCTATACCCGTCTTCAAAATACACGAAGCGGGATCATAGTTTGTAATGAGGACGGATATTAAGGGTAGAGGGATTATTCATGGCTATAACAAGGGTCATCTGACTTGGCTTTCGGTTTTAACTCTCAGAAATAGAATGGCCAATATAGCGGGTTGAGAATCGTGAACATCCACACCCTTGATATCCACCTATTTGGGTATCCTTATTAGCTTTTCACTTGCATTGATACCCACCTGGCCCTACATAGCAAAGTGAGAACAGGTATAATAGTCTTGTCGATCAAGAATTCATTAAACGGTACCATCTGATTAGCATTTATTTCAGGTAGGAGTAACTTACTTGGTAATTACCTACAGATAATTACTCACTTTTATTTAGTACTATAGAAAATAAACGGTTTGGCCGATACAAACCTACAAAATAGACTGTTCTATTATTTATTAGAAAGTATCTTCATCCAGACGCAGTATCGTTTCTCGTTATAGGAATACCCACTCCCCTCCTAGCTCAATCATCTCTCGGAGTGAATTTATCCTCCATCAAGATCCATACACCCAGTATAGCATCGTCTTTTGTAATGTGAATTGATCTATTTATACACGCACATATATACATTTTATAACCCCTGCAAAGCATAATCCAAATTACTCGCCATGAAATATGGCTACTTATCACTGAGAGTTTTAATCCGTCCTAGAGTTTATTCCCATCATTAAACCTCAATATGCTGCGAATATTTTTGCATTCTACATCCAGAACGACAGACTTTCACGTAATCTTCTCAGGAGTATCATGCCCATGAACTCAACACAGATATTTCACTTCACCGTTCCCGTCTAGATATACACGTAACCTCACCCGGTGAAGATTTGTCTTTAATACTTCAAACTTCACAGACAAATCTCAACCGAGAACTCCCAAATAGCTGGCAGTGGGGAATACTTCACGCATTTTCTCTTACATTGCTCAATACATCATATTTATTACCACCTTACATCCAGGAAAACAAAGATTTCCATGTGAACTTCTTTTCCGCCTTGTCAAAACCCTCGCTGTCGATCAAGGTCTCGGCATCCACACCATCCAAGTCCTTTCTTCTGCCTTCGTCCAAGTCAACCTCCGCGAGATTGACCCATTTGGTCTTATTGATCAACTTGATAAGGAAGAAAATGATCACAAATACTGGCAACAAGATGTACGCGTCCACAAAGTTACCAGCGTCGAATGGCTTGAAGTAAGACCAGCCTTGGATCAAACCCAAAAACACGTTCCCAAAGAGCCCCACGTATGACAACCACGGGAACCACGCAGCCTTATACGGTAAAATGTCCGTGGAAACGCCCTGTAACTTTAACGCTCTTCTGAAGCGGAGGTGAGCAAAGTTAATGGAGCCCCAGACAATAAACACAGACACACCAGAGAGATTAACAATGTAGCTGTAGGCATTGGCGGCACCGGTGGAAACGTTCATGAGCGACAAAAGCCCAAACAAGTTCATCAAAACGACTGCACAGACCGGGACCCCGCGCTTGTTGACGTAGGTGAGGAATTTCGGAGCCAGGCCCTCATTCGCAAGGTTGATGATGGAGCGCGAGCCGATGTAGATCGAAGAGTTAACCGCAGAGATGCACGTCACCAAGATGAACGCGTTGACCAAGTGGGGGGAGGACCCCCAACCGGCACGGGTCAAGGCAATGGTGATTGGCGACTTGAGGGTTCTGGAAGAGCCCATCAAGTTATCGTCGTTCCATGGAACGGTAACACCGTAGAAGACTGCAACACCCATATAGATCACGAGGATTCTCCAGAAGGTTTGTCTGATGGCAGACGGCACAGCCACAGACGGGTTACGGCTTTCGGAAGCAGCAATGGCAACACTTTCGGTTCCGGAGTAGAAGGTGGAGCAGAAGACAAAGACAGACACCACACCCTTAAACCCATCCGCAAAGGCGCCAGGGTTGTTCCAGTACTCGAAACCAAACGCCTTCTGGTGGGGTAATCCTCCAGAAATGTAGATTATGGAGAAGATGTAGAAGGTGATTAAGCCCACAATCTTGAACAACGCCAACCAGAACTCTAATTCACCGAAGGCTTCCACCCCAAGGAACTGAAACGCCATGAATAACGCCCAGAACATCAAAATATACCCGTAGAGGGGCACCTGAGGGCCCCAATACTGCATAATGGACGAAACAGAGTTATATTCATTGGATAATACGGCGATCCACACAATTACGTAGTTCCAGCCGACGGCAGCCCCGAACGCGGGGTCCACGAACTTGTTACAGAGTGTGGAAAAGGCCCCACCAGAGGGGTACATCGTGCTCAACTCACCCAACGATTGCATCACCGAAAAGGCAAGAATCCCGACGACCCCAAACCCGATGATGAGCGACGCGGGGCCACCGCTATGTAACGCCCCACCGGCCCCAATCAAGATGCCGGGGCCAATGATCCCAGCAAGCGCAATGAGCGAGACGTGGCGGTTCTTCAAGCCACGCTTCAAGCCGTTGTCTGGGTCGAAAGCTGATTGCTGGACGATACTGGCCGCGTGTGTGCTGTCCAGCGCTTCGTCTAACGAGCCAGCCTTCTTTTCAAGATTTCGTTCAAAGAGCATAGTGTATGGTTCAGGTGGTACGCAAGATGTGGTAAGCGGATGACAGTAGTGGGTTTGATTTCGGACTGTTCTAAACTGTCAGATTCTGGAACCTGCAAGAATATATATTGAACCTTGAATTAAATTTCTTGTGAAGTATTTTCTCTAGTTGAGTCAGAGGGACTACATATGCACATGCGAGCAGGCAACTGTGGCAATTCCGAATGCAGCTACTAAGAGTAAAGACTGCATGGAAAATGGCAGCAGCCCAGCCAAAAAAAGATCCTGCGCACGCACCTCAAAAGAGAGCTGGGAATGGAATGCGCAATGGCATCATCGACCACCGCGATTGCGAAAAAAAGAACCGGAAGACGATCTGTGCGGCGTAGTCGATAATGCTAGAGACGAGGCTGAACAAATTGGGGCATAGTTGATATAGAAGGGAGATTGGAATCATGGCCAGCCTTAATCCGAAGCTCTCAGTTGGGACTGGAAATATTATTACTGTTGCAAATAGATCGACATCCCCTAGGCGGAGTAGTATTGCGGGCACGACTGCCAAAAAGCCAGCGTACCGTTAGTGTTTACGGCGCAAGATTTGAAACTATCAGCACGTGCAATAGACAAATCACGACCCGTCTAGCCCGTAAACGAGTGGCCATCGGGGGAACGAGGTTTGAACCTTAGGGAGCGCTGCAAGCCCGGAGCTAGAGAACTTATAGGTTTAGTTCTATTACTAAGATTGCCATTTTTTATAGCATTGTAAAAGTTATCACACGCACCAGCCTTCTACGAACAGCAAAGACGGTGCAACTGACCCTGGCACTATGATTCCACAGTTATCGCACGGCGTTTGCTGGTCCCTGTGGATATTCTACGGCCGTTTGGTGTTTAGAGAACCCTTTATTACCGCTGCGTTGTAAAAATAACTATGTACAAATCTGCAGAGTTAAAACGGGGTGCAAAGGAGATACGCCCAACTGGGACTTCCGTTAATAAGAGCAGACAGGTAACTCATGAGAGGGGTTTGAGTGGTTAGGTAAAACATGGAAGAAGGGCATGCAAATTTCACTGGAGCGGTGGGATATAAATTCCAAAGATAATATTTCCACAGAAGATGTAGTTTCACATGAAAAGATAGATGCTGTATGTGATTTCAGGGAAAAGGGTTCAAATCCATATGGAACGAGGTGTGTCTAGGGGCAGATAAGTTCGAAGATTCTTGGATGTATGGCCGATAGGATGTCGAACAGACCCCTGAAACAGCTTTAAAGATCCGATCCGTGGAACAGCTTCACAGAACGGATTCCTGAAATGTCATAGTAAAACGGCTCCAAAACCTCAGAGTGGCTTTACGGCCTCACAAGTCCCCATTAGGGGCTTTGCCAGTGATTTTTTTCTATGAATCCTGGGCCTCTCCGTCCAACCAGAAATATGTCGGCTTGAACGGCCACATCCCAAACACCTCAGAAAGCTTCGCCCATTCATCGCTTGTCAAGTCAATCGGCCGCTTCGCCATCGTCTCCGCAGGCATAGTCTTATCGAAATACTCAAATGCACCTGGTCCCAAGTTCCCCAACGCTGCCTCCATCGGAGACGACTTGAGGATCGGCACCTGCTTCGTTACATACTCAAAGCAGTCCAAATCAAGGTTATGGTTCTTTGGCTGGATATCCAAAAGACACAAGTTCTGCGGATCCACGCTTGACTGGATCAAGTCCGTCTCCCTATCCATCACGATCGGATCGTAGGCGAGCAACTCTTCCTCCGACCAGTAGCCCAACGTGGGGTACTTCACCGGCGGAAACGAGATTGCGGCAAGCTTAGTTTCGGTAAACTGGTCACGGTAAATCGAAGCACGGGTTCTGCGGTTGGTCTCAACTGGCGCTAGTAACTTAAGCGCCGTCAGCTCATTGACCCACAAGAGCATCCGCACGCGGCCGAAGCGCTGGAGCCAGTTACGATTGGCCACGCAGTGCATCCACTGGACGACCAAGGCCTCGGACTTTTTGGTGCTGGTAAGGTTCCCAGAGATTAAAAACGTTGGATGGATGGTGTCACGGGAGGCTACATCCGGGACTATGACCTTTTCATCGTCAATCGTGGAGGTGAAGCTCTCCCAGTCGTAGGGGTCCTTGTTCACGAGATCCCATTTCATGCCGAATTTCTCGCCAATCTCCTTCCAGCGCGCCTTAAACCCAAGCGCCTTCCCCATCACAACGTGTTGCTTTGGTTGGAGCCGCTCGTGGAGCATCGTGGTGAACATCCCGTTACCGGGGAAGACGTCGAAGAGCTGGAGGGTGTGGGGTGGGTACATGTCCTCAAGTCTGAGCTTGTCGAGAACCGCATTGAGGACGTAGGGGTTGTTGACATTACGGTAGCCACGCACATTTTTGAGGCCACCAAAGATCTCTGCGTATTTGGCCAAGTTTGTCATTGATCGTGGGAGGTGAGATGGGGTGGTAATGCGATGCCACTGATGATAATTTTTTTCATACATGGAGCCGCATGCGAAGAAGCTATACAGGATGCAGATGCGACGGGACTTTGGCATGAAACGGAGAGTAATTCCAGAGGGGGAAAGTTTCAATAAATACACCATAATTGGTGTATTTAAGGAAAAAATAAGAGTACAAATTTATAAAGGGTACTGATTATTAACATGTTGTGTACCTTGGGCATTGATATTTATGAAATGGTGCGAAGTGACTAAATTGGAGTATCTGGTAAATCAGTTAGACGGTCAACTTACATCTACTAGCTATGGCATAGCTATAGATCGGGAGAGGTGCTTATCATGTGAACTTCATTCACAATACTAAGAAACAGTTATCACCTTCTGCTTTTGCGGAATCCATTATTCAAATTCGAGACACATGCTTACGCTGAACGAATCAATGGTACAGCATTGATTTAACATGACTTTAAAGGAACTGAGATGGTGGAACCGGTACCTCAACAGACCACAAGCTGGTAATATCAATAGCGAAACAAACATACTAGCGCTAGGTGGTTGAACTTGCATCTTTTGACATACCGCAGCCCTATTGTTAGTAATCTATATTGTATGCGTACTTCGAACCAACCTTCTTTCTCGAGTCCCGGAAGCAGAAGGAGCCCATTGATAACTGACAAAATCCAAATTTAACTTTGAACATTGACATATTAAAATCATCAATGCCGCAGCGATTTGGAGCTTGAACCTTTGTAGCTTTCATTTTTGGTACAAGTTCCCGAGTTGTTTACGATGACGTCATAGATTATATATCGTACAGTAACAGGATAAAGTGGTCTATCGTTAAACATGGCAAACCATAAGTATCATTTGCCGCTAAAAAAACTCTCCTTAGCCTCGATTCATGGACTGAAACTCATCCTTATCAAAACTCACTTCTACTAATTTGTCCGTTTTGTTTCCTTTTATCCCTACGGGTATTAATGCTTTTTTTAATCATTTAGCATCAAACCTTACGCTTATTACATACAGGACCCTATGTCTCGGGAGCAGATTCTATGGAATAAGGACCAAACTAGGCATGCTAAGATTGTTTAGATGGATGGTTGAAACACCTATAATTAGTCATTTAAGATGCACCAGGTCTTTAAAAAACGCTCATTTATTACGGAAAGCTTCTGCCATTGTTACACAGCAGCCTCATTAACCTTAGGTCGTTCCCCTACCATGGTCCACGCACCACCAATTTTTTGCCTGTTTTGCTGATGCCGCCATACAAAAACACTGCCAATTTCCATACTGTACCCTTTGAGTAGCGCCATACCAACCTAGAACATGGCTAGTGCGGACCCCCTCCAGCTATTCCTCATCCTTGACTCGTCGGCGTTTGTGCGCGGCATCGGCAACATTAAGCGCTGGATCGGCGACTTCAACGTGGTGGTGTTCATCCCAGCATACACTTTACACGAGCTCGACTACGTTAAGAAGGGGATCTCCATGCTTGCTACCAATGCGCGTGAAAGCATCCGCTACATCGATAAGGCCACGTCCTGTGACTTTGACACGGTACCTTTGCGCGTGTTCATCGAAGGGCCGGACGAGGCAGGCCCCAAGTGGCCCAAGTGTATGAAGTACAAGGTCCATGCGCCGCTCATTCGGGAGTTTCCGAATCAGAAGACCACGTTTGACTCGAACTTAATCGGTCACAACATGAACAACCACGCTGTTAACCTGGCCCACTATTCAAACGATATCGAGTACGAGGGCGATTCGCTCGCTGGGCAGCCCAAGCCACGTAACACCGCCAACCACAAGGCGGAGATGCCCACCCGCTTGCGCTACTTGATAAGATCGTGTATTCAGAAGGTGCACATCGACAGACAGAACAACTGGAAGTTGGTCACCGAGGACCCCATCACCTCCATCTGGTGCCAGAGCTTTGGCATAGACTGTCTCAGCATCAACCAGGCGGAGCATGACATTTTTGCTGCGCAAGGTTTGAGCGCGGCGAATCTGTACGTGCCGAAGCCACAGAACAGGCTTGGGGGTGGCTACTCCATCTCTCCGTTGGTTGAGGATGACCGTACGAAGAGTGACAAGGTCAAGAAGGAGAAGTTTAACGCCATGTCCTATGCTCCACGCGGCGTTGGCAAATTGTGGACCCCATAGAATGATTCTCTAGATCTGAATTTAGCTCAGTATATGCGATATTTTCTATGTGGTGATGCTCTGCATTTGTTGCAATGATCTGGATCGTTTCCTCCGCCAAACGTTTGGCTTGATTGCCTGTGAGGTATCTACCACTGACAACGTTCCAACTGAACGCTGGCCTCTACCCCTCTCTGTCGCGAGATTTGCCCGAAACCACACCGTGGGTTTCAGTTACAATTAGGTTCATTTTATCATCTGATTCCAGGTTTCACCCTGAATTACTGCTTTAATCGGCCATATGAACCGTGATATTTTATAGACCGCTGAGATGTTGCCCGCAAGTTTAGGTAACGGGTGGTTATGGTTGCTATCCCTTCACTGCTCCACATGACTCTCCACAAAATTTTAGTGTATCCCATCAACGCTGATATTTCTTTTAAACACTGAAAGTCTATTGAATGCTAAGAATTAAGTCAAATGTTTTAGCTGCGGATGTACCGTTTTTCTAACAATCCTGTAGGTCAAAGGAAGCTCGAACCCTAAAGCCTGAAGACGTAGAAACCCTTTATAGTAACCGTCCAACTTAGCACATAATCTATACACCCTCTCGCTCGGTTTCTGCACTAGCAGAGTTTCTCAAACTTAAGTAGCAGTTCCAAAATACCCCAATAGTGGAGCTAAAGGGCACTTGCATGCTCCGCGGAACCAAGAGGAAGTTGACGAACTGAACCGGGATCCAAAGCGACCAGCTCGCGACGAGGGTGGGCAAGTAGATCTTCTCCAACTTGGCCTTGGCGTCCTCCCAGGTACCGCCCTCAAGAACTCTAGTGGTATAATTGAAAAAGCAAAAAAGCGACACCGGGGAAAAGCACAACTGGTCGGTCAAGACCTTTCGGATGATGGCAATTATGGTAGGATCCGAGGAGTATATCTGTAGGAAACTGTACCACCACACCTGGATGAATGCAAGCATAAACCCCCAGCACATAAATCCTGCGAGTCGATGGAACTGGAATCTAGTCGAGACACCGCGATAGGTGACAGCCAGCGGTATCGAGGGTAGAGTCACGCCATCATTGGTGTCAAGGTAAGACATGAAGTTTTCAAGGTCATCCTCGTCATCAGTGTAATACCCGCTGTTGTTTGAGTATAAATTTACACTCGAATCGGAATGCGCCCGGGTTCGGTAGTCAGTCAAACCTAGCGCTGATTCCATCCTGGATTGCCGCGCTGCCTTCATATACGCGCTGATGGATTGCGCAAGCGTGTCTGCAATTCCGTAGAGCACGAGATTGGTGGCAATGGTGGCGAGCAACGAGTTTTTGGTATACAAACGGGTATATTTGATCGATAGCTTTATGAGGAAGAAAGTCAAGATGCACACAATGATGTAATTGATTATGGGTATGTGTCGGACTGGATAGTTAAGGGCCCGGGAGACCGTTTCGATAATCGCGTTACAAGGGGCATCATCCAAGTCATCGGGTAGATTATTGTCACGAGTATCTTCAGTATCAAAGTGGGGATGTGTGTCGCCTAATTGAATAGGCATGGCGTGTGGTATGGTTCTCACAGGGTGCGATGGGTATATCGGTTATCTATATAATGTGGGGCAATACAACATGTTTTTGGTGGCACCCGTATACCGGATATCCGGGTCGTGGGAGATCCAATATATATCACGTGCTATACGCTAGGGCAGAGATAGGTGCAGCAATCGCAGTCACAAAGGGAGTCTGCGTTTTTTAGTTTTTCCCAAGAAAAATTTTCTCACTAGTGCTTCCCAACGAATCGTCTGCCCCTCTCAGACCTTCCGCCATTCTCTTCCCCTCAGACAGATTCCCCCTACTGCCAAACTCCAGGTGAGAGGGTTCGGTGCAGGTCACAGGAAGCCCGAAACTGTTAGCGGCAGAGTGGAGCTGTTACTATGGCGGTGCTAACTAGGTTCCGGTAGGCAGACCGCGGTGGGAAGCGGTTTGGTTATTCAAAATAAGTAAAAGTTAAAAACGTCGCTAAAAACACCCTATAATGAGGTTTCTCTAGTAATCAAAGATTCTTTAACCATCATGCTTATTCCAAAGGAAGACCGTAAGAAGATCCACCAATACCTCTTCCAAGGTATGTACCAGTCCCAAAGCCCAGAGTGAAAAATTTGAGGACCGGACAGAGAAGCCAGGAACTCGTTCTGGGAATGAGTCTAAGACCAATTTACACAACTCCGTTGAAGATGTCCGAACCACGAAACCATCAGTTACGTACAGACGATAAGCGTTGGAGTTTTTTCAACCTTACCAATCCAAAAACTGACACTCACCTCCGGTCGTCAATCTGCTACAGCCATCAAATTTTCCGATCAGCCCTTGATTTTTTCACCGGAACCGTTCATTGAATAGTACTAACACGTTTTACAGAAGGTGTCGTTGTTGCCAAGAAGGACTTCAACCAGCCAAAGCACGAAGAAATTGACACTAGAAACTTGTTTGTCATCAAGGCTTTGCAATCTTTGACTTCCAAGGGTTTCGTCAAGACTCAGTTCTCGTGGCAATACTACTACTACACCTTGACCGACGAAGGTATTGAGCACTTGAGAGAGGACTTGAACATCCCAGAAGGTATCTTGCCAGTTACCAGATTGCAAAAGGCTGCTCCAGAAAGACAACAGAACCGTGGTCCAAGAAGAGCCGGTGCTCCACAGGGTGAGGGTTACAGAAGAAGAGCTCCACGTGACTAAATTATTTCAATTTAGCATGCTGTTTATTCTCTTATGTTTATAATATTGTTATAATTACTCCTTTTTCTATCCAACACTAAAGATATTTAAAATACTCAATACTATGTAGTGCTGTGCAGTCCAGTCGAATTTTCGGTATGGCCTGTTGATCAAAACCGCGAGCACTGATCAGAACCTAGTTTATTATTTTGTATTATCAAAGACAGTGGGGCTTACCGTGGAACAGACAAGTCATCAGGTGGTACCAAGTATTATCCCGTCAGCATGCTATAACAGTGTTCTGAACCTGCGCCACAATTATTACAATGGAGCTCATTATATGAATAATATGGAATTAAACAATAGGTGTGCGAGACGGGTAGAACGGGCCGTGACTTTCCGGATGGAACTTGTTTGCGGCAAAGTCTTTGGGAGCATATAGTTAATACCTGGAGGCTTGAGTTCTAAAGCTATCGTAAAATGTATTTACATATTCGCCCACCGACTTTCCTTACACCGATTCAGTTCGATCTCACTATTGGGGAGCTAAAATTAATGATTACAATATCTGTTAATTAATACTGTATAGCTCTGGGTTTCTGTACCGAATTTTTTTTATATTCTTAATTTGAGCTCATTACAACTGACGTCAACGGATACCTTTTTAATTCATATGTGAGTGTGTCAAATTGTCATAGGTATACTTTCATACCGCGTATTTTTATAATTTGACGTAGCATTGATATTTGCACTTTCTATTCAAGCATTTTATTTCCAGTGCTTTTCTTGTCTATTCTAAACACAAATAATTACGCCAATTACCAACCATTTCCCATAAACCTTTCACTTCTCCATTAAGCCAGCTTCTCTGTTTAGACTATCGACGAATGTTTCCTGCTTCCAAATAAACTTATTCTGCTGTTTCTAATACGTAATAAATATCACCACAGAACCGCCATCTTTCTTTAACTTCCCGCCTCCTTTAGTTTATAGCTCTATTTTGCATTCCCACTTCACCCGTGTGGTAGTGTACCCAACAGGGAATTTGCTTGGCTAAGTTAGCGCGCGTCTGGTTCAGTTCAACAAAGCGGGTCTAGATCTAAACAAAACACTTCTTCCACTGTCAACTAAATTTGGCTTCAAGAACACCGTTATACTCGTTTTCTACGATATACTCGAACAATAGTCAGATATGGCCGACAGACTACCAGTAAGTGCTATTTTTTTTGACGCCCCTGAGACTTACTAACACGCCAGGCTTATCCTACGCCCCAGGAGGCGTTCAGCAACTCGTCGAGACGGAAGTCGCCTCCCAAGGTTTCATCGGGCTCTTCTCAATGGAATAACCAGTATCAACAACCAAATAACCACCAACCTCAACACCAATCACACCAACCACCACCTCAACACCAACTTCAACACCAACCTCCACATCAACCTCAGTATCAATCACAGCCGTATTCAAACCAACCGCAACCGTACTCAAACCAGGCACCACAGCAGTATCTGGCTCCTCCACAGCACCAGGCGCCTCGCCAAGCGCCACAGCAAGCCTATGACTACCGGGTACCCTCTAACCAGCCACCGGCACACAACTCCAGACCAAACTACCAAACTGCTCCAGTAAACGTCCCGAGAGAACAGTCACGGATTGCCAGCAACAGTAGTGCCCCTGTGGGCTACCACTCGCCGTCGCACCAGCCCACGAATAGGACCAATACGTCACAGAGCCTGTTACAGAGCCTGAAGCCGCTGTCCAACGTGGAGGCGCAGTTGAAAGAAATGTTTGCAAGATACGATATCCACCGTAACGGCCGGTTGAACGAGGACGAATTGTCGAACGCATTGGTTAATTTCGACAGATCCAAGTTTCGCATTTCGACCATCAAGTTGATGATGAAGTCATTCGACACAAACGGGACGGGGTCTTTGGAATTCTCCGAGTTCTACCGCTTGTGGAATTACCTTTCTTCGTACTCTAAGTTGTTCCAGGAGGCCGACACTGACCGCTCATTCACTATCTCGTTTGGCGAGTACCAGGGCATCATCAAGAAGATTGGCTATGACTTGCCCACCGACACGGTCTTGTTCATCTTTTCAAAGTTCTCGGGAATCGCCGACGGCGGTATTCCGGCCTTGAAGTTTGACTCCTTTATTGAGTCCTTGTTCTATTTGCGAAAGATCACCGACACGTTCAGAAAGTACGACAAAGAGAGCCAGGGAATTGCCCTCATCAAATTCCAAGACTTTATCGTCGAGGTTTTGAGTTTGAAATAGTATCTTTTGATCGTAGTCCGGGCCTTTATCGACGAGACTGAAAATGTTCATTGTTTGACTAAGGTGAAGTTTAAGTCTCGCTCTGAACAAGAGCCCTTGGTTATGGTGAATAAGTTGGCCGTGCCTATATAACATAATATAAGACTTAATGTTGAAGCCGCAATGCGTGCGCATGCAGGAAACGAGCTAGCCACAAACACAACGGCCACAAAGGGTGTTGTTGGTTGGGATGTGGGCAGTCAATAAATTAGTTTGAAAATATGGCTAAATAGATGTAATTCAAGAGAAGTGTACAACTACAGAGACTTTTTAGACAAGAGATTCTACCTCTGAACCTGACTACAATATATATATCTGACCTTCGCCTTTCACTATACCAAGTGCACTGATGGATCTAGGAGATACTGCACCCGAACCAGCAAGTGCTGATAACGTTAATGCCAAAGGAGAGTGGGAGGGGTCGGTACCAGAAACCCTCCCTCCTACCGCTGATGAATTGAATTACTTAACGGCAGATGTAACTGGCACGGAGAGCACTTTTGACCCCCCGGAACCCATCAGTAAGTGGACGATGGAGGAGATCGAAGCCCGCATCAAAGAGGCCGACTTGAACAACCCACCGGAACAGGTAGGGCTTCACCAGTTACCCCGCCAAAGGCGCGAGATCGTAGCCAAAAAGGGCGGAACGTTCACAATGATTGTTGCTGGAGCTTCAGGGTTGGGCAAAACCACCTTTATTAATACGTTATTTGGCACCCTGCTTTTACCAAAAAGCGAAGTAGAGGGTCCATCTAGGGCCGATAAAACAACCAAAATTAGAATCCACCGAACAGAGCTAGAGGAACAGGGATTTAAACTCAGCTTCACCGTGATAGATACCCCTGGTTTCGGTGATTATATAAACAATAGTCATGCCTGGGTGCCGATCATGGACTACATCGACGAGCAATTGAGATTGTATCTCTTCCAGGAGGAGCAGCCAGACCGCAGCCAGAAAGTTGATTCCCGTATCCACTGCTGTCTATACTTTATCTCGCCCACCGGCCATGCGCTTTCGCCGCTTGATATATGTGCCATGAAAGAGTTGGGCAAACGGGCCAATTTGATCCCCGTCCTCGCAAAGAGCGACGCTTTTTCAAAGGAGGAGATGAGTCTGTTCAAATCTGCCGTCAGAGCGACCCTCAAGGCGCAGGGGATCACCCTCTGTGACTTGCTAGCGAATGGGGAGCTTCTGCCACAGGTTCAGAGCTTAATGCCCTTTTCCGTCATCGGAGCAGAGTCTATTGTGGCACGGGAGGATGGAGTAATGGTCAGGGGGCGCAAGTATGGCTGGGGAGTTGCGGAGGTGGAAAACCCAAACCATTGCGACTTTGTGGAGCTTCGTAAGATTTTGATGGGCAACCACATGCTAGACTTGATTCTCTCTACCGAAAAGTTCTACGAGCACTATCGCCGCCACTTGTTGAAATTTCGCTTGAAGTGTGCTTCCAAAAAGAATGAGAAGGATGATACCCCCGTTGCCGAAACTAAGGGGAATGACGGCTTGTCAGCCACCAGCAGAGAAAGCCAGCTCCCTCTCGGAGGCATTGAGTGTTTGAAAGCTCTTACTAACTTCAAGTTAGATCAACTTGAGAAGGAATTGATGGATTCGAGTCCGATATTCCTCGAAAAGCAAGTGCAGATGCGCAAAAGGTTCTCAGATATCGTGAATGGCCAGGAATACAAGTTCAAGGAATGGAAATCCGCGTTGTTTGAGCGCCAGAAGAATTTCAACGCTGATATCGAAACCACCCACAACCGTGTTTTGCAATTGACCGAGGAAATCAGGCGGTTGGAAGACAACGAAGAGAGTGTACCCAAGAAGGGGTCTGTGAGGGATGTGTCTGAAACTCTCGCTCCTGCGTCGGCCATCGAGAGTGCAGTTGAAAGCGTAGTCTAGGAATGTTTCTGGAACAGGGCTGTGATCCTGACGTTTTTTCTCCAAAAAGTGCGCGTAGGCTATTATCTTACTTTGTTTAGCGCTTAAATTCCGAATTAGAAGGATTTTCCTGATACATGAGAACCCCCAGATATGTCACTATGCATACACGACGACATAACCTATATTTTCCTTAGTTGAATTAGATTAAAAGCACATGTTATTCATAGGGGCGAAATATCAATATGCTTATTAAATAGGTGGATGGAAATGTTAGTAGCTATCCATTTGTGATAAGAAGAGACATAGAGAAGCTCCATATACTGAAAATGGGAGGTAGCTATATGCAACACCGCAGAGGAGGCTGTACCGTTTTCAATACATCCTTGTCAGTTAGGAGCTTAAGTTAGCGGTCCTTTGTCGTGTAGATGCGGTACGAAGTTAACGGAGGAGTTCGGTGATAACACATGAGTATCGGGGTCCCCAACAGTGTTTGCACTTCCACTTGCAGCCCTTCAGTTTTAAGTGCAGCGTTAGCCATAGCCATTGTACAGTTGCTGATACACTAGCTAATTACGTATTCGCCATACAATTTCACCCCCAGACCCATGCTTAATTTCCATGATGGCCTTCTATCTGATCACCATAATGACAGTGTGCCAAGGGATGCGATCTCATGCAGCATCTGCATTATGCGACTGAAGCCCTTATCCAAAACTTATTGCATACGAAAATCTTTTACTGTTACCCTACTTAAATGTTGAATTTTTCCACCGTTCTGCAAACTGGAGGATCCAGTATAAATACCACCTCTGCTGCCCTCTTCATCCCTCTCTTCTCTCTCGATATCAAAGGACTTTCAGCTGGCCCAGTGTCTGAAATTCTTCAGTGTCTGTACCAGTTGGAAGCGTTTTGATCGGGGTTCTAGTCCAAAATGTGGGCTTTAGGAACAGGCGTTCCTATTGCAGATATTTTCTGATTCTTGTTACCTACGACACGGTTGTCTGTCTTGTATGATGATTCACCAATATTATATGTTTTTTCTGGCATCTCTAATGTTAGAGCTCTTCAGCTCGATGAATTCAACTTTTGACTATATCTGATTTAGACAATGCACCTTGGTCGTGGGAATAGTAATAGGAAATACCTGGAATACTAATAAGCTTTACTATTGGTCAACTGTAGATGGTTACAGACCGTATTTATCACTGCGCAACGAGATCATAAGCTGCCAGATCTAGTAGACCCCAAACATGACGCCCCTCCTAGACATGGTGCCCAAGCTTGGAACCTCGCCGACATGGATCGATTGGAACTGGTGAACCTTATTAGCACGTCATGCATCATCGCCAACCAACGTTTAGCCATCTCACCGATAATCATACACATGGGCTCTACCTTACCCTCGAAGCTAAAACACTAGCTATGCAGTCTCCAATGCAGCCCCAAATGCATAGCTATCGTCGCGACGTGTGGAACGTGACCAGCCTATGAGGCCGTAGCTTGCCGCAGAAGCCGAACGTATGCACACGTACGCTTAAAGCCTACGTACATACTTCCATTCAGCCCGGCTTATTCTATTTAATCTCCAGTCCCCGAGTTATAATCGTATTACTCTGCGTACGTTTCGTCTTTGCCCATGGCAGTGTTGTAGACCCGGACGCGTCACGTGGAAGCGTCGTGTCCTGCCCACGATGCCGCGAAATCTCCAAAAACCTCGGCCGCCCGCAAGAAAAAAAGGGAACTCCACGCGTTTCCGGCAAGATACGCCAAATATAACAACACGAGCACAACATTTGCGTGGTGGTATCTGACTCTCTCTATTGTCTCTCTCGCCGCTCTCACTCACAGCTCTCTCTCACGACCAGTCGTCCGCAGATATTCGCAGTTACACTCGCGTCTCAGTCTCAGTATATGGTCATGGAACTTTCTGGCAGACTTCCTCCGCGCGAGGAGATCCGCAAGGCTTTTGAGGTATGTATGAAACAGTGGATATGTGACAGCAATGCCTTGGCAAGGCAGTGGTGGATTGATGAAATGGTATGGGTAGAATTTTGATGGTGTACGCTGTGATATGGATGATATTAGTATACAGCGATTACACTACTATGATAACTGAGGGATATGCCTTGATATTTTGGGTATATGCTTTGATATTTAGATATCTATGGTGTCTGTGGCGTTTGCTAAGACGTTTGCTTAATGCGGTGTCCAAATGCATACCATGGTTGTCCCAATATATTTCACTATGGGATTGAAATATCCCATAATACTCCTTGCGGTCCAATACATAAACCCATATGCCAAGGCCTATTTTCCCGTCAATCTCAGTTATGGTGTCTGGTCTTCAGCAACACACATGCGAATACCACAACACGCATATGCGAACTGCCATATGTTGTCTCAATCCCCCTTTTTTTGATCTTTACTAACATCTCTAGCGCTGGCAAACGCTCAAAGCTCAGTTAGGTGAAAAGGCCCCCGCGAACCAGGAGTTTGTTCAGCTCTCCCGGTTCCTCTCCTACGCCTCTAAGGCGGGACAAGCGGCTCAGCAGCAACAAAATGGAATGCAACAGCAGCAGCAACAGCAGCAACAGCAACAGCAACAACAGCAGCAACAGCAACAGCAACAACAGCAGCAGCAACAACAACAACAACAGCAACAACAACAACAACAACAACAGCAACAACAGCAACAACAACAACAACAACAACAACAACAACAACAACAACAACAACAACAACAACAACAACAAAATGGCTTGCAAAATGGCTTACAGAGCGGAATGCAACCTATGCCGAATGCGAATCCAAACATGAATGCGCCCGCGCCCGCAACTGCGAACGGGATGGCACCGTTCCGCGCTCCTCCACCCGCAAACCCAATCATCTCGCCAAGTCAGTCGGCGTTGATCAAGGCGCAGGTGAGCGCATTCAAGCTCTTGGCGAAGAACCAGCCGATTCCGCCGGAGCTCAAGCAGATTTTAGCTGCGGACCACTTCACGAGCTACGTACCCGAGGAGTCCTATACAAATACCAATGCGAATGTTACTGCGAACGTGAATTTGAATGCAAACACAATTGCTAATACAAATGTGAATATGAATGCCAACGTGAATGCAAACTTGGAGGCTCACTCGCCACAGTTAGACAAGGCGCGTGCGCGCAAGAAGGCGCCGAAACCAAAGCCGAAGCCAAAACCAGCGAAAAAGAGTCTTAGCGCAGCTGCAACGCCAGTGGCTGACGCGGCGCCACGGCCGCCGCTGATCGTGCCGAAAGGCCTCCCACCGATGAGCCTCGCGAAGCTTCAGCAGCGCATCTTGGATGCAGCGCACGACCCGATTTACAAGCAAACGGCGCTAAAGTTCAAGCACCCGCAGATTGTGCTGGTGAGCGACCCATATGCGCCGGTTGAGGCGTTTACTGTACCTGTGTCTGGTGACGTGCCGTACGCGACGGCCGCGCGCGTGCGTGTTGTACAGCCGGGTACCACCATGACGGGCTTGGACGTAGGCGTGATGGCACAAACCAGGGAGTTAGTTGTGCAGATGGAAATTCAAAGGGCTATTGAATCGATCTCGGCCTCTGCCTCAACTGAGGCTGGCAAGATCGAAGAGCTCTATGGAGATGATGCGAGTAAGCCGGTGGACGCGGATGTGTCTGCGAGTCGCCGTGCGCATCTTGACGCGCTCAACGCCGACCTCGCTTCGCTTCGTCTTCTCCCATTCCAAAAGGCTCTCCGTGGTCACATTCTTTCCTACACCTATTACCATGCGCTGCTCCTCACCAACGTCCATCCAAACTTCCTCGCGCGCATGCGCGCGGTGACGGCGAATGATGCGCTTCTCACACACAACCTCTACCTCCAGGCGCAGTCGCGGCAGGCGCATGTCGCACGCACGCGTGCGCGTGAGAAGGTGGCCGCGCTTACGCACAACCTGCAAGTGTTTGCGACGACGCGCGGGACGCGCCTTGCGCGCGCGGCACGCCTTGGTAAGCACCTTACAGCCTTCCACTCCGCTACAGAACGCGAGGAACAGAAACGCGTTGAGCGCAACGCCAAACAGCGTCTCCAAGCACTTAAAATGAATGACGAAGAAGCCTATATCAAGCTCCTTGACCAGACCAAAGACACGCGTATCACCCATCTTCTCAAGCAGACCAACACGTTCCTTGGTTCTCTCGCGGCCGCAGTCAAATCACAGCAACGTAGCACCCACGAGCTTCTTGTGGCCTCTGGGCACGCGGTTGCACCAATAGAAGAGGACGATGAAAATGTGGACTACTACCTGGTCGCGCACAAAGTTCAGGAGACGGTCACGCGGCAGCCATCGATGCTCGTAGGGGGGACTCTTAAAGAGTACCAGCTCAAGGGTCTTCAATGGATGGTATCGCTTTTCAACAACCACTTGAACGGGATCTTGGCGGATGAGATGGGGCTCGGGAAGACGATCCAAACGATCTCGCTTATTACCTATCTTGTGGAGATCAAGAAAATCAGGGGGCCATTTTTGGTGGTTGTGCCGTTATCTACACTCACCAACTGGAATCTTGAGTTTGAAAAGTGGGCGCCGGGCGTAAAGAAGATTACCTATAAGGGTGTTCCAGTGCAGAGAAAAGCAATGCAGGGGGACATTCGCGCAGGCAACTTCCAGGTGCTTCTTACGACGTTTGAGTACATCATCAAGGATCGTCCGTTGCTTGCTAGAATCAAGTGGGTTCATATGATCATTGATGAGGGGCATAGAATGAAGAATTCGCAATCAAAGTTGTCACGCACCCTCACGACGTATTATCACACCGATTACCGGTTGATTCTCACGGGTACCCCGCTCCAAAACGACCTCCCGGAGCTCTGGGCGTTGCTCAACTTTGTGCTCCCCAAGATCTTCAACTCTGTGAAATCCTTCGATGAGTGGTTCAATACGCCGTTTGCAAACACAGGAAGCCAAGACAAGATGGCGTTGTCGGAGGAGGAAACACTTTTGGTGATTCGCCGTCTCCACAAGGTGCTTAGACCGTTCCTTCTCAGACGACTTAAGAAGGACGTGGAGAAGGATCTCCCGGATAAGATCGAGAAGGTGATGAAGTGTAAGATGTCGGCACTCCAGGCAAGAATGTACCAGCAGATGCTTCGTTACAACCAGCTCTTTGTGGGTGATGACTCAAAGAAACCCGTGGGGGTCAAGGGGCTCAACAATCAGATCATGCAGTTGCGCAAGATCTGTAACCATCCGTTTGTGTTTGAAGCGATTGAAAACATGGTCAACCCGACCCAGGAGACCAACAACAACATCTGGCGAGTGTCTGGGAAGTTTGAGCTCCTTGAGAAGATTCTCCCAAAGTTCCAGGCGACGGGGCACAGGGTTTTAATTTTCTTCCAGATGACCCACATCATGGACATTATGGAAGACTTTCTTCGTCTTAAGGACATGAAGTACATGAGACTAGACGGGTCAACTAAGGCTGACGACAGAACAAACCTTTTGAAGGTGTTCAATGCCCCTCAGTCGGACTACTTCATCTTCATGTTGTCGACCAGAGCCGGTGGATTGGGCCTCAATCTCCAGACCGCGGACACTGTCATCATCTTCGACTCCGACTGGAACCCGCACCAGGATTTACAGGCGCAGGACCGTGCCCACAGAATCGGCCAGAAGAACGAGGTGAGAATCTTGAGACTCATCACCGAGGATTCGGTGGAAGAAATGATTTTGGAACGGGCTCACCAGAAGTTGGACATTGACGGGAAGGTCATCCAGGCCGGTAAATTCGATAACAAGTCGACGGCGGAGGAGCAGGAGGCATTGTTACGCGCGTTGATCGAATCCGAGGAGAACAAGGAGGCCAATGATGAAGACGAGGAGTTGTCTGATGCCGAGCTCAACCGAATTCTCGCGAGAAGTGAGGCCGAGTTGGAAGTTTTCCTGAAGCTAGATGAGGAGCGTTACAGGGTCACCCTGGCAGGGCTTCCGCGGTTGTACTCGGAAACTGAACTTCCTGAGGTGTATCATCACGAGCCGGTGTTTAAGCTGAGGGAGGACGATGACGAAGGTTTTGGACGCGGCGCGAGGGAAAGGAAGGCGACTCATTACGACGATAACGTGAGTGAGGAGCAGTGGTTGAAGGAGATCAATGCCCGTGTGGATGAGTCGGACGATTCCAGCGATGAGGTGTCGCGGCGCAGAAGAAGAGCCTCGCCAGATGAGGATATGCAGTCTGACGATTCGTATGAGGCGCCAAAGAGACGCAGGGTCGAGCTAAAGCCTGAGGTGACGGACGATGTGGCGCCCGAGTACGATGTTTCCCGTGGAAGGGGCAGAGGCAGAGGGAGGGGCAGAGGCAGAGGACGGGGCAGAGGACGGGGCAGGGGACGGGGCAGGGGCGGATTCACCCGCCTGACACCGTCAATTGACCTTCTTCTTCCTGAGGACCGTGATGTACTTCAGCGCCAGTCCGACGCGCTCCTCTCGGCGGTAATCGAAACGTCCGATGATGGGCGCCGTCTCAGCGACGCGTTCCTAGTGAAACCCTCTAAACGCCTCTATCCCGATTACTACGTGTTGATTAAGACACCAATTGCGTTGGATGTCATACAGAAGCGGATTGACACGCTAACGTACCTGAAACTCTCGGAATTGGTCGAAGACCTTCATCTTATGTGCAGCAACGCACGGATCTATAACCAGGAGGGCTCGATGATATATGAGGATGCGCTGGAGCTCGAGGCCATGGCGGTGAGAAAGTATAAAGAGATAACCGGGATGGAGGCTGATTTTACCGAGTTTGATGTAATGTGTGACTTGAAGTCATTGGTGGTTCCGTTGGCTCCTGCAGAGTCAATGGCGCCAGAGGATCTTTCAATGCCAATGGAGACTCCGATATCAATGAGCCTGATGGATACCCCGAAAGATCCATTTTCTGATGCAACCAATGTGTTTGCCTAGTTAATCTAATTTAATTTGATGTATTATTATTTAAAATGGAAAACGGTATACGCGGATGAGAGTGTTTTGAGTATCGCCTCTAATTACAATGCAAGCTATACCGCTGTGATGTGTAAATTGATGGGCTATATCTTTGGCTTGGACTTTCCAACACTGGTGGATCGGGCGTACTTAATGGATCCATGCTACGTACCCGCTTTCCGCGTAGCTTAAACAAAACGCTAAACGCCACCAGACTGACTTCTAATACACCGATTCTTTTGGTGCACGTGCCACACACTAGTTAAAAAAGGTCATCAAAGTCATCTTCTTCGTTCTCCTCGGCATTCTCCTCGTCGTCCACCTCGTCATTCTTATCTTCCTCAACCACCTCCCTCACTGCAGGTGCCCCCAAGTTCTGTTCCTGCTCCTCCACAGCCTGCAATTGCTTCCGCTTGGCTTCCAACGACGCCTGGACGTTGTTCAACTCGAGACTTGCGTGGTTCAAGCCATGCGACTTGCGCACCTGCTGCTTCTTGCGATCTAACGCTTGTTCGATATCCTTGATTTCCTGTTTAAGCTTGACGCGTTCCTTTTTGAGTGCCGCCGCTTCCGGCCCGAGCTCCTCGTCATCATCATCCTCGTCATCTTCATCTTCGTCATCATCATCGTCATCATCATCATCATCATCGTCATCATCGTCATCGTCCGCGACTTCCTCTTCCTGGATGACGCTTTCGTCTTCATCCAACGCCCTGGCAAGCTCCGCTTCAATGTCCATGTCCACATCCTCATCTTTTTCTTCCTCGTCATAGTCGTCCTCAGACTCGTTGGGCGCGTACGGAGTCGCAGCGGTGGAGATCGACGGCGTCTGGTTGACATCAACCAACTCCCACGCGGACTCCATGGACTCTTCATCTAACTTCAAGAGCTCATCCACACGGTCCTCCACCGACTCAATATCCTTATTGCTCATCCGTTTGCGGAAGCGCTTACGCGCCTGCTTCATCGGAAACGTCACTCCGTCCACGTAGATGTCATTTTTGTACGCGTTGAATAAGAGATCGGGATTGTGGATATCGCTCTCCAGCGCCAATTTGTTGGTTATAAGCAATATCTGGCATATATCTATCGTCTTGAAGATGTTTTTCTTGTCGATGGTTTTGTGTGCTTCGAGTATCGTCGGGAGATCAAGGAGCTTTCCCCCGTACAACGTGCGGTTGTTGAGCAGCAACACGGCCCTTCGCTGGTCGACCCACTTGATTGAAACACCACTCATATCACCAGTCTCAATGCAGTTCTGCAAAAAGTCCAAGTCACCTTTAGCAACCCCAGGCAACATTCGCACTACTATCCCATCCTCTATCAACGGGTCGTCTTCACGGTCTGGTGCCTCTGAATCGTAGCCATCGCCGGGAATTCGCGTCGGCTTGACTCTAATCCGCGGAATGATCTTCTTGGGGACTAAACCGCTAGGTGGCTTGAGCCGGATCTGTGGCAATCCACCTACCTTGGGCTTTTTAACTGCATCAGCAGAGGGCGCGCGTAGCGTGAGTGACGGTGTGAGTTTGAGCTTCACCTTGGGAATATCGGACTTTGTCAGGTCATCATTGGGCTCCTGTTTGACTGGCTTGAGTTTCAACTTAAGCGCCATGATAATTGAGTGGCGAGTAAAGTGTTTGTAAGAGTAAAAGCAAAACCAGATGTAAATACGATTCATGGAAGAAATATCACGTGGATGAGCCTCGAAGAGACGGTACCTACACGTCCATACGATTCGGAGTATGGCATGAGAAGATGCCATATTGTTCTCGTGGCGGAATAAACGGGCTCTGCGTATTATTAAATAGTTTAATATGTATATGAATTTAAATAACAGTGCATTGGCTATATTAAAAAGATAGGACATCATTATGTTATGGCTAAGAGTTTACGAAGGTACTAAATTTGCCTAGCACGTGGTTGGAGCTCACAATTGACCATGAGTATCGATGTCATCGATCAGCTGTAAACATCTCATGACATTCCTCAACTAGTTAATAGATATTTTATCAATGTATTCGATGTAATAACAATAAAACATAACCATCCAGAATGCGCATTTTGTCTTTGGCCCTAGACGTACTAAAGATCTGAGACGGAGAGACCGTTATGTTATGACAATAAATGGAGCTGGAACACAAAAACCCGATCAAGGACTTTGGTAAAACTAGGAACGGTTTCTTAATTGAGTATACGGTCTAAAACAAAGCCTCTTCGCTAAAACATGCGGCCTACGAATCGTTGGATTTACCAAAAACACGAAAACGTAGATTTCTGGGCCAGGAGACATAAAATCCACCAACAGGCATTTCTGGGACGTTCAGATCGTAGAAAAGAATTTGAATAGCCTCAGGTATATCATATGGGATGTCAGGTGTAGTCTTCAAGAGATTTTCATGGTAAACCTCAGATATCAGGTAACCTCGAGGTGACAGACAAACCATACCTCTAGTAATCAAAGCCTCTAGTTTGTTAATCTCCCAATGAAGTGATATTCAACTCCCGCATCTTGTGTAAGACGTTGTCAATGGACTGGTCCAACGTGTCGTTCACATAATCCTGCCTCAGCTGACTGTCCATGGAGTTCTGCAATTTGTTCAAGCTCTCGTAGCACTCATTAAAGAACCGTAACTGGATTTTTACAAAGCTCTCGAACGACGGATCCAAGTACGGGATGCGCAATGACACCAACTGGGGTAACTCGGTCTTCAACTGAGAATTCAAGTTTTCGTAAATCTGCCGCAGCGCCGCCAGGTCGCGCTCTAACATGGGCAACTTAGTGGCATCTTCCAGCGGCTTTTCCGCCAACTTTTTCACCTTGGCCCGCAAGTGGTCGTAGTCTAGCTTCTTGTGAGCGCGCTTCTTGATAGCCTCGTCGATTTCCGTAAAGTACGTGTTGAAACGCGCTACTGGATTTAAAACAGTCTCCTTATATGGCCCTTCTAGCTCCTGGAGCACGTTCTGGTTTAATTCCTGGGTCACCTCTAAATATCGCTTGGAGATCCCGTCACGGGAGTTGGCGTCGGGGGCGTCATAGAAGGAGTCAATTGTCTCGGCAATCAATCGCTGGGAGTTGGTCAAAAGACGTAAGGAGTCGAGATAATGCTTTAGTTCTTTGTGGAGCGTCACACCAATCGTTTCCATCGCCTTGAATCGCTTCTCCTCCAAGTCGTATTCGGCGTCCACCGTCTGCTCCACATGTCCCGTCTTGATCATCACCTGCGTTCCCGCACGGTTCACCGCCTTCATAAATCCCGTCCAAGACATTTTGTGTTTCTTTGCTATTAAATTTGGGTTGGAAGTTGTAATTCGAGTTTGAAGTAGTAATTGGGGTGTGGAGAAGTAAGAGAAGTCAAATTTGACGCACTTATGCCATCGGTTTTAGGCGCATGAACCGTTTCATTTGTGTTCCAGAAACGTTCGGATATCGCGGCCCGGCAATTGTCCCCCGCGCGCAGGAGAGCCGAAAGGAACCCATGCGTGAAAAGGAATCATCGCGGAGGGTCTGTTATCATTGTAGGACCCACTGATCCTTCAGAGGCTATCAGTGTCTATGAACCCGATCCTTGAGAATATATGGCCAGTAATCCCGTGTTCAGGTAACGTGCAGACCCTATATGGCGCACTGTTTATAACATGTCACTTCGTTCTGCGAGTGTTCAAAGTAAAGGAGTGGAAATTAAAGGATGTGTGAATGATCAGGATTAAACAAACAATAGCGGGTAATAAGCAAAGAAAAGGCAATAAAAGGAGTGTGAATAACTGAGGATCGCGAGGAAGATAAGTAAGTAATAGTTAACGGGCTGTAAAATCTTAATCAACGGTACTAAAATGTGAGGTGGTATTTCAATGATCGTGTAGAGCCTTCCAGGACTATCGGGAGAATAATGGAGGCTTAAATACCTTCTTAACGAACCAAAATCACTGAATAATATATAAGGTGTTTAGGCTTACAACCAAACATGTTAAAATAGACTTGCCAAGACAAGATTTTCGGTACATTGGAAAATAGGTACCAATTACTGATATTATTAATTCAGCCAGACAAGTACATTTTTAACCTCCACAATATTAGAAAGCCCGAATATTTTAAACAAAGCTCCCAGATCACCAATTCGGCAGCATATAGGCCCATTAACGATGGTACAAATCGACTCGATTAAGCGACATGGCTTTGCAGGCTACCCGATTTGCATCAAATTGTTGAGGAGGGGACGTTCCATCCGATATTCAGAAACATACACAACCCAGTTGCCCAGAATTTCCAACCTGTCAACACATCCGCAGTTCGTAAATCGGGCTGTCTCGATATGGCCGCTGAGATATCCATCATGTTAAGATTCCGACACTGCGTTTTCAAATACTGACCTTCCATACACTTTAGCCTTGATGCAAACCAACCATAAATAGAGCAAATATAAACACAAAGTATGTACAAGAACCGAGAAACACAGGACACCCATATCAAAACAATAGCACGCATACCTCTTATAATACTGAAGATACATAGACCGACAGACCAACCCAGTCACTTTCAAGCCATCTGTTCCAGCCAGGCCTGTCTTCTTTCGTTCACCTTCAGCATGACAAACTTCAAACCCTCTCTGCTCCCTCTGAGATTCTCTTGCATCTTGCTGTGGCCCCAGCTTTCGAGCTTGTTCTTGATGCCAAACTTGTTGATTCCGCTGGAGAACTTCACTGACGATTGCACATCTGTAAACCCATCCGCGTTGGTGGAATAGTGCGTAAATTCCTCGATGATGATGATCTTCTTGTGGTCCAAGTTGCGCGTGTAGGTAGTCATCGTCTGGGTATCGCGGTTGATACGGATCTTCTCCATGACCCAGGACTTGGTCACATCGCCTACAAAGTAAGTGATGAACTTGGGTAAGCGCCCTGTCTTGACGATGAGCTTGGTCAACATCAAATCGCCGGTGGTGGCGTCAATCCGGCAATCAATCGTATCTACGGACTGCACATGTGTTGCATACGGGTTGGGATATCTGTTCATATACGCCAACGTGACGGTGGCAAAGTCGTAGTCGTACGAGTGGCCGCTATTGAACCAAAGAACCATGGAAAGTGTATAAGGAAAGAAGTTTGGGGGTAAAATGCAAAAGGGTGCAAAGGATGAAGTGTAATATGAATAAAAAATAGACAGATAAGGAGTAAACACCAGGAGAGGTACGTGAGTGAGGTGTGTATTATACCTTTATTTTCCATGGCTCAGCAATTTTTCAAGCTTCGCAGTTTTTCGCCTTAAAGCCGGGGCAGAAATTTCGTGAGCTAGGTTTAGTAGCGGATAAAAGTTGCTGCGCATGTATTAATGAAACGGGGTTTATCTAATATGGTGGGCAATATGAAGGGATAATTTTTGGGTATTATTTAGTAATTCCATGTAATTTGAAAAGGTTGTATACCCTTGGATTGTTTAGAAAAAGTGACTGACTCTTGAGAACCTGAGTGTGCAGTAACAAAGTACTGTCGAATACCCCTTGAATTACACGCGGTATATATGTGGTTAGCACCATTCCCAGTTCGAAATATTTTTGGGGATGGTAAATTTATATTTCCATAATTTTGGTCCTTTGCTTTTAACAAATGAAGCTATGTCGTCACAAGTGAATTTGGCGATTCATAGTTCGCAGGGGCGCAGCGCCTAACCGCCCAGCCGGGTCGTTTCTCGCCTTCTTTCAGAACCGGTACAGTTTATATGTTGTTTTACTAGAAACTTTGTAATAACAAGGGACATTGTTCTTCCTCTAAGTATCCTCCAACCTTGTGGGAAATCTCTCGCTTACGTTAACTATCCGTAATATAAGCAATACTCGTTTATGAGATGCCACAACTTGCATCTGTTCTTCTCAGTATTTCCCGGAACTGAATCAGCTGCAGCGAAAGCAACTCTCAAATATTGATGCTTATCATTTACACTATGAAATAGTGAGGTAAAATTTGAAATAGCGAGGTAGAATTTGAAAATTGACTATAAGCCCCAGCCCCTTATCATGGCTAAGTAAGGACGCTGCCAGTCTTGTCCTAATCAGTCGATGTTTTTCGTTACAATTATGACACTAGATAATGCAATCCAAAACGGCTAGTAAACCAATGACCGTAATCCATAACCATATTAGCCTCCTTTTCAGCGTTTCCTTTGTTAGTTATTGCCATGCACCAGAGCCAGATTGTTAGTCGCGCATTCGAGGCACAACGCTATCTCTGTTTCCGGCATGCGAGCAAATTATGCGACATGTCAAGAGCTGCCACTTCGCTCAGCTCATGTAGCTATATATACTGTCCTCATATCCTTCCCAACAAGTGGTATCCACGTAGAAATTAAACCCCTATTACCGTTTTCCATGTCACACGCACACAAACTCCACGAAGCCACAGTGTCCATCATGGATAACCCGAACGCGGGCCACGGCGGCCATGGTGGCCATGGCGGCCACGGCAGCACAGACACTTGCAGCAACGGTATGTCCTTCACCTGGGACTGGCAAGACACGTGTATCGTCTTCAAATGGTGGCAGGTGACCAGTTTTACGGGTTTTGTGCTCACGGTTCTTGCGATTGTGGCTCTTGGTGCGGGGTACGAATGGGTCAAATTGACCCTCGTCCAGTGGGAGAAGAAGGGTATGTATAAACAGAAATCACCATGGCGGGATACTAATGCAGTAGCCATCCGACTCCTGGAGGAGACGGCGCTTTTGGGCACCACTAACCCCGCAGACTTTGACCTCTCGCCCAGAATGATCCGGTTCAAAAAATCCGTGGTGTACGCCGTCCAAGTGGGTTATTCGTTCATGTTGATGTTGGTGTTCATGACGTATAATGGATGGTTTATGCTTGCGACAATCGTGGGAGCGGGACTTGGAAACTTCATCTGGGGTGGCAAGGAGGTGGAGGCCCGCAGTATGGCCTGTCATTAGGTTTTTGAGGTGAAGAGACAGTGGCCAGAAGTCAGTGTTGGCCATACGCTCGTCGCGGTATAACCCGCAGTATAATTCAACTACATTGCATTTAGCAATAATCAAAGTTTTATAGTCCCACACCGACTGGGGATATCATATTAAAGGGTTGGATAGGCAAGCTTGGAGAGGAAGCACGGATAACATAGATATAAGACCAAGGCAATTTTTTTATAATATATACTTTTACGTTAATTAATGGCAATTTTTGAAGTATCCTCATACTTGGACTGGTGTCCTTCCTCATTTAGGAATGTATGAGATAAGATAGGACCTGACTCTCACTACAAACCTTCGATAATTTCAATTTTATGTTTACGCACCCTTATTTTATGTATTGGAAGTTACGAAGCTAGTTGCTACGTTTTCTATACACACACCAAGACGCTTTTCAATATTTTAGCAAAAACAGCTAGATAATTCTCCTCCCGATTTGTTTTTTTACAGGGGGACTCCTACAAGGCTGGCGATGAACGAGTCACGCAGCTGTTAGCGGCTCTTTTGTCTAACATCACTTTCCTTGGGTTGTGCTGCCTGGTGTAACCAATTAAGATAAAGTTTATTGACCAGTCTGAAATCACTCCTATTCCCATGAGGCCCTAAAGGCACGCCGTCAACTTCTGTACGCCCAATTTACGGTACCAGTATCCTGATCTGCAAAAGAGATGAATGAACTGGAAATAAGACAAAAAAATAAAATGAAACCAACAACAGTACGAAGGATCTACCAACCGTTACCATCACTGCCTACCGAATTTCTTATCGCAGGCCCGTCTAAATTGGGAAAAAGAGCCAGAGCGCCGTTAAGCGGGGTTTACATGTCCAGCGGCAAGTCCTAATCGGGATATTTAAGCCTGATTTCGGAGTATTGTAGCCCAACCCCTACTTTTCCCGACTTGTTTCACTACAATATAAATATTCAATCGGTCCTATCTACATCTACCACCAATAGTCCACATATACCTCTTTACCAATGCCCAATAAAAGACCCGAGCCAACAGTGTCGGCAGAACACATCGCTGTTGCCAACAGTGTCCAGAACGATTACATCAAGGGCACATACAACGAGGAGGACTTCCAGATCCTTTCGACCATGAGATACGACCCTACATTGCCCGCAAGCCTTTCTGACCATGTGCCAAAGAACATTTCCGGTGAAACTACTGTGTTAAAGCCCTCCGCTGGTGCTATTGCCTCAGACAAGTTTTTCTTGTTTGACGAACACGTCAAGCGGATCAACTTCTCTCTCGGCTACTTCCATTGGGACTACGAATTATCGGCACAGATGCTTCTAGACAAGCTCAATGCCGCGTTGGAAGTTGAAGATGTCAGTAAGTCATTGAAGCTACGGGTTATGATTGGAAACGACGGGAAGGTCCGCATTGAAATTCATCCTACGCCAGAATGCGACAACCTCCTCGCAGGGTTAACCACTGAGCTGACTCTTTGGGAGGTGGGGATCGACAAGAACCCCACGGATGTGACCCCTTTCACTTCTTTGAAGACCACGCAGAGAGACCACTACGACCAATCGCGCAAGAACAGCCGGATCGAAGTGGGCATGAAGCGCGACGTGATCATCTACAATCCGTCAAAGTATGTCATGGAGTGCTCGATTAGTAACGTTGCGTTTGTGAGAAAACACGAAAACGCAGCCGGTGAAACAGTCGAGCGGTGGGTCACCCCGCCGTTGGTGTGCGGGTGTATCTGCGGGACGATGCGCAGTTGGTTATTGAAGAATGGCATTATGGAGGAGGAGCCAGTGATGGTGAAGGATATCCGTGTGGGTGAGCCCGTGTTGATGTTCAACGCGCTTATGGGGGTGGTCAAGGGAAAAATTGTCGCAGAATTCAGTGAGAGCGAAGCTTGAGCCGTTCATGGAGGGCCTCATAAACCACGAGCTTACAATAGCCGTTTATACCAGTTATTTATTTTTACGTGTAAAAAATCAAAAGTAAAGCAAAATATTTAAATATCCAATGGCGTACAATTTTAAAGGGTTGAAGCCCAACGGGCTAGCAAGAAACGATTAAAAAGCTTGTCTACTCTTCAACCCTCGGAAGAGGGTCAGTAACATGCGTATTATAGCTTTTATGTTTTAACTGACCTCCAGAGATAATTGGCATGGGATTATTTATAGACCATACACTGAGGAACGAGACAAATCCCGAGATCTGGCAATATCTACGATTATACGCCCATTAACAAGATTGGCTGGCTTTGACTTCATAAATAACTATCGTTCAGTTCATCCAGCTGTATCCAATACTCTACAACCTTTTAGACCCTTTTAACCGACAAATCCCTTCAATGGATTTATTCTATAACTCTCCTAAACGGTCAACTCTCTGATCTCAGCCTCGGTGTACCCCAAAATATACAAAATATCCAAGAGCGACTTGGAGTTCAAACGGCACGGAGCTAGATCTTGGACCTTTGATTTTGCGTTCCACGCAACACCGTAACCGGCCTTAGCCATCATCAAGAGATCGTTGGCACCGTCGCCCACCGCCACCGCCAAGTCAGTGTCAATTCCGTGGTCCTGTGCAATCGTTTTCAACAACTCGGCCTTCTTATTGCCATCCACAATGTCCCCAACTGTATGGCCGGCCAAGGTGTTGGTGGCATCATCTACAGCCAACTGGTTCGCAAAAGCGTAGTCTAATCCCAAAGTTTCCTTGATGTGGTTAGCCAACGGCAAGAAGCCGCCGGAACAGACGGCCATCACACAACCGAGTCTCTTCAAGGCAATGCACAATTCCTTCGCCCCCTGGGTGATCTGGATTTTCAGCTTTAACTCGTCCCACAACTTCCCGGCAGGAATCCCTGTTAACAACTTTACACGCAACGCCAACGACTCGGAAAAGTCTATTTCACCATTCATGGCCTGAGTAGTGATATAGGCCACCTTATCTTCGACATCAGCGTACGCAGCGATGAGCTCAATCACCTCCTGGTAGATCAACGTGGAATCCATGTCAAAGACAAACAACTTCTTCTGTCTGCGGAAAGCCGGAATGTTCGTCTGGAATGAAACGTCGAGGCCCTTTGGAAAACTGTGGACTTTGAAATTGGCTCTGAAGGCTTCCACCTCGGAAATGTCTAAGAAAAATTCATAATCCACTGCTCTACAGGCATTTAACACCTTGGTAGAGATCTGGACACCGGCAAGGAATTCTTCAACCTTGGCGAGAGAGTCTTCTGGGAAGGAGTCACCTTGTGCGATGACATTAATAACATAAGACATAGTGACGGCTTTTCAGAATATGGTGAGTGCGTTAAATCAATTTTCTCAGAAGGATATATTTCTGGTGGAAAATTAGTCATAATTACCCGATAGGCAATGTGCAGGGACGAGTCAAACAGCCACACGTAGTCCATTTTGGATGCGTTTGCCACATCAGCCTCGCATGACACTTCTCTCAGAACAGTATATTAGGGGTGGCCGTGTAACAGAGTAAGCTTGGCATATATATATATATATTGGTATATTTCCTAGAGAAATTGAAGAGGTAGTATGAATCTTGCTAACAATTATGAACCTAAAACTCGAAATCTGGCAGACGCCAAAAAGGGGCGAAACGCGGGAAATGAAGCGCCCCCTTAAAACAGCTCCAATCTCTAATGATCATAAAGTTCCATGGATCAAGACGAATAATTTTTGCATGAATATTTTTAAAGTTATAAGTGGGAAATAACCAAATGATGGCCCATTCTTATGCATTTTCTGTTTTTTTTCGGCACTGCTATTTAGAGATGGTGCATGTCTAGGCCGCGTGGATATCACGTGTTCCTCTCATAGGCCTTCTTCCTGTGTTAAAAATAAATCGGCGGTTTTGGCTCGCCCCCAGCAATTGAACAGTCAAGATGTCTCATAGCGTTCCTGCAGAAGTAGATGAGGATATAGCGCAGAACGTCGTTGTACAGCCCGAAAACGATGATCCATTGCAGATCAAGCTCTTAGCGTTGAATTTTGACTATCTCCTCTACAAAATATCCGACCATGTCAACGCACTTTCCCAGGACACCTACACCGCGATCCATGGCCAACAGGGGGAATTCGACGAGTTGGATCTGCCTGTATTGGATGCTTCGATGGAACACATTCTGAAGGTCTTGTTGCCTAAATTGTGTGAGTTGGAAGCGAATTTAATGGCGATCGGCCAGGTTTCCGACATTGCCAAGCTGTTTCGAGAGCGGATTCTTACTCTTGAGCAGTCCATGAAGAAGCAGAAAAGGAGATAGCGTTACAACTGAGGCCCATTCAGTGAAAAAGGCCAGAGGGTGTATGGCTTACCTGTAATGTATTGCGTTTCAAAGAGGTATGGCCGCTCGGCTAGATTCCTATGGATTCTTCCTGGTACACCTGGGAGCTATGAAGCGCAACGTCCATCCCCTCATAAATATATCCGAATCCAGAGATGTGTACGAGTTTAATCTACCAGCTTTTATCTTTCCGGAGCATTGCGAGAGTTGTTACCTCCCGAGCCCTAGAGCATGGCCTGTTTACTTCATTTTTTACAAACCGAAAAAGCAGAAGAAATCTGCGTCAACCCCGATGTTTGTATGTCCACAATCACAGCCAAGAGACGCATTAATCTGGGTTGGGGTGTCACACGGTTGTTAGACATTAAGTCTACGTCGATGCCTAGCCAGGTATCAGTACACTAAACGCTACCCAATCGGATTATATACGTATTTCGTACAAGAATTGCTACTCATGACGAATCAATAACTAAAAAAGTAGACTCACTGATTAGGCTGAACCGAGACATGTAGAGAGATATACACCCTAGGGAGCTACTTGGTGGAAGTCATGATTACGCAAACCCGATAACTCTGTGATATCCACCTGAGAGGGTCGAGTAGAACAAGCGGCTGAGAAAACGGCAATAGAAACAGCTCATCGCATGGCAATCATCTATAGCGAATCACTTCGATTCAAAGGATAAATAATTGATAATACATTCTTTAGAAGTCTACTCTAACAAAACAATTTTCGCCAGCTGAATCTCCTTGCGCAATTCATCCATTTGGGCCTCACGCTTCACTCTGCGTGCGCCCCTTCTGCGGAGCCTAACCATCGCTAACACCATCAATGCCACCGCTTTGAACGACACTGGCTTTCTATGGTCCCTAGGAGCTGGGTAAACTCCTACTGCCTGCAACTTTAAAGCGTCGTTGCTGATGATCCGACTGGAGTTTTGAATCCGCGAAAGCACATACTGGTTTACAAACGTCAAGTCGTTGGAGTAGAGACTGGCCTCATAGAGCTTGGCCTTGAAAAAGTGCAACTCGCTTTCCAACAAATGTAACCGTTCGTGGAGCTTTGTCGCAGACGGCTGGAGCGTCGCTTTGGTGAGCTTCTCCGTCAACACTTCCACCTGGTGGTTAAGCGAGGCTTTGTCACCATACAACGAACGGCACTTCAGCATGAGTGTCTCTTTGAGCTCAGCATATTCTCTTGCGAGTTTCTTGGCGTCCTTGGAATCACTCGCCAATTCGCTGTCAAACCTGAAGTCATCTTCCCGCTTGAGCTTAACCTCATGCTTAAGCAATTCTTCAGTCTCCTGAAGCTGCTTGACAATATCTCTCAACAACGCATTTTCGTTCGTCTTTTGCGAGCTCTCCCACTTCAAGCTCTCGCACGTATCGTATACCTCCGACAACTTTTCGGCCATGTCTTCCCGTGCCTTGGTGGCCTTGGCAAGCTGATCGCGCAACGCATCGTTGTAGCGAGCTTTGGAGTTGTCTTCCTGAAGATTGGCAAGCTGTTTCTCATAGTAGTCCAACTTAGAGCTGAATTCCTTCTGGAGAGTGTCGTTCTCTAACGAAAGCATCCGGATTTTGGATTCGTTCAACGCCTTGAGCTTGACCAACTCGAGCTTCTCGCTGTCTTCATTGAGGAAGCTGAACTTATTTTTAGAGTGGATCTCGCGTAACCTATCCTCCAACATGGATATTTCGCGCTCATTGCCGTCTAAGGTCTCCACCAACCGACTTTTTTCCCGTTCCAAAGCACCGATCTTGTCTTCGTACTTGAGTTCATTACGCTCAGCTAACATAGTGAGCTCCTTCATCTGTTCATTTAGGCGGGAGGTCTCGGCCTCAAGCGAGGCATAATTTTCCGCTTCAGCGTTGAGACGCGAGATTTCGGCTTCAAGCGACGCGTAGCCCTTCTGATCCGAGCCGAGTCTGGATATCTCCGTTTCGAGGGCGGTGATCTTTCTCCTGGAATCGCGCTCGTACTCTCTGAGGTCCGAGCTTCGGCTCAGTCTCTCGGTTTCGAGTTCTCGGGTGAGTTTCCGATTGACCAGTCTCAACACATCCATTTCCTCTTCCAATCTCGCTTCCCTCAAAGCATCATTGTGGACACCCTTCTGAGCCAGACTCTTTATCTCATTCAATTCAGCCCTGGTAGCAGTAAGCTCGCGTTCCAAAGTTTCGTATTCCGTCTCGTAATAACGGAGCTTTTCCGTCAAGTTTTCAATTTCCAGCCTCAATTCTGTGAGGTGGGTGCCCGAAGGTTTTGCCTTGAGCAGTGAAACTTCCTCGCGCAAAAGGGCTCTTTCCCGCTGGAGGTCGAACTTGGCCAGTTCCGAAGCTTCCAACTGTCTCTCCAAAGACTCTACCCTTTCTGCAAAGACATTATTTTCTGAAGCATTACCCGTAGCCTCCTTCAAGTCTTGGACCAATGCTTGACACCGCTGCTCAAGTCTTGTAAGCTGCTCCCTGAGCGCAAACACCTTTTGCTGCTCAGCATCCTTGGCAGCAACTTCCTTCTCGAGCTCGTCCTGGAGCTGGCGAAGGAGCGCGTTATTTTTGGTCGTTTCAAGGGTATTTTCAAACGAGCGGGAGTGCACGTTGTCTAGCTTAGTGCGCAAAGCCGCAATCTCTGTGGACTGTTCATCAAATCGTTGGGACTTGGCATCCAAGGCCAGTTCAGTTCGCCTTAACTTTTCCTGGAGATCAACCAAGGCCAGTTCTTTCTGTCTTACTAGGCCTTCGAGATTCCCCAGAGAAAGTTCTCTCTGCTTTAGATTCTCCAAAGATACATCCTTCTGTCTCAACTGGTCATGGAGGTCATCTAATGTCAGTTCTCTCCGTCTTAATTGGTCTTGAAGCTCCTCTATCGATACTTCCTTCAGTCTCAATTCATACTGAAGGTCTTCCGCCATACCTCTGTACTTTTGCGCTTCCTCCTTCAAACCAGCGACAGCTGCCTGGTCTGGTGTGACCTCAAGTAGGCGGTTCAACTCCAGATTTTTCCGCTCAAGCCGGGTGTTTTCAGTTTCCAAGTCTGCTGCGACGTCGTTGAGGGCTTCTAAGTCACCTAAAACCATCTCCAACTCTGCCCCTAGGGAAGCAATTCGTTCCTCGCGGGAATCTGCCCCCTTTTCTGGGCTGTTTTCCTTATCCGAGTCCAGAGCCCTGCTCATCTCGAGCAACCGTTGCTTGAGCTCGATGTTCTGTTCCACCACCTGGCGCTGCTCCGCGGGCGTGGCGCCCAAGTACCGATTAAGCGTGGCAAGTTTAATCTTGAGATTGTAGTTTTCGTTTTCAAGCCGCTGGAAGTTCTCTTGCTGCTCCTTCACCAAGTTGGAGCCCTCATTCAAGATTGGCTTGTACGCGAACTCTGGCGCCGGCGCCTTTGTGTTGAAGTTGTGGTTGTCAAAGCCATTTATCGTGTCAAAAGTCTCATCTGCAGTTCTATCAGCAGCATCAAAGGCAGGAGAGTAGGGCGACGGCTGACTGGCGTTTCGCTGTGTTAAGGGGGTGTGAGCCGTGTGTCTCGCCTGGCTCACGCCGCCGACTGGCGTGAACTCGTATGTTTTAGCGGGCGACCGCCTTCCAGGGGTTCCGATTAACGGCTTGGAGAACATAGCAATATGGGTGTATCAGTAATTGGGTATGTGATAGAGGTGATGAATATACAAACCTCAACGCGTTTTTTTGTGTCTTGTTTACTTTTTCGCGCAACATTCAAATTGAGACGCGAATGCAGGAAAATGTCGGACTTTGTGGGTGCGAAAAGTTAGAAGTCGTATAAGCTTCTAAAATCTAATATGACCAGACAACCAACAAGGTAACAATTACTGGTAAAATCAAAACCTGTGTTATAGTTATGTAAAGCAGTAAAGGAGATTTTCTTATAGAATTACCAATGACAGATAATATATAGATGATTGTGTATTTTTTACCTGCCGGTGAGAAACAGGTGTCCGAAGCGCAAACCACGGCTGGAATTTGGGCTTGTCGATGATATGGCAATTCAAATACTCTATACAAAAAGGAGATTCTGCAGTGGAAATGGCTCCATGAGCTAGTGATAGACCGGTGGACACGTTGCGAGATATCAGCCATATCCCCACTTTAATAGCATGAATAAAGGGTAGACTGCACAAGGCTAAAATGATTGACTAAAAAAACGTTAGTTTCCGTTCAACTCCTATATTTTGATTAGGAGAGAAGTGGGTGTTTAGTTTAATAGGACATCACACTGTCGGTATGATAACCTAAACTGGAGTGAAAAAGGCTCAGAGGAATTTAAGACAAAGTACGGGTAATCCACAAGTGAGGTCTTAGCCGATAAACATTGCATCTAGACTTTAATTTTCAAAAAATGGGAGTTTCCATCTCTGGATTCTTTGTTTTTAGTTATACTTTGATTCAAATATTCAATGGAGTCGACCACTCTTTTATACCGTCACCCAATCCGTTGGTAAAAGACATGTAGAGAGCTAGAAACTCACCGCAAGCCCCGTTCGGGGCAAAGCCATACAAATAAAGCTGGTCATAGTAACTTTTAGCCTCTACTCTAAAAAGACGGATGAATACCACGTTATACTGAACTATGTCTACATGAACCCAGGATTAATGTCCCTTTCTGAAGAAACTTTCGGGGCTATTACCTTCGATGAACGACCGACTATGGTACAGCATAGAATGCCTTGAAATTTCTGACTATCATCCGGGTAGAGGGAGTAATTCTTCTACACTTAGGACACAAATAATGATAGACTGAAAACAAAGATAAAAACACCAATAAACACAGTTTGGTCTCAGATAAAATAAGAACATAAAGAGGGAAGAAAGGGTGGAAATAAAGTAAGTGGCGAGAAAAAAAAATACAAAGGGAAAGGAAGGTCTAAATTTTCGGAATGATCAAGAAAAAGGAATAGCCATGGTAAAGATAAAATTAGACCTTCGATTACCATCGAGGGATGCCTTCAGTTACCGTCAGACTTCTTCAGTTACCCCATCTATTTCTTTCCTAACTGGATTCTCTTCACCTGCTCCTCCAAATCCTTGATCGTCGCCTGGACCTCTTCCAAATCCTTGTTTAACCGGTGTCTCTCGGTCACAATGTTCTGCTCCCATTGCTTGAATCTCAGTTCCTCAGCCTTGACCTGCTCCGTAAAGTACTTTTTTAACGCCTCCTCTTCCTCCTTGAATTTTGGGTTGTGCAATCTTCTGCTTCTCTTGGAGCCGGTCTCCGCTGACTCCAACTTCAACGTTCTGTAGCTCTCGTAGTGCAACTCCTGCGTAGACAAGATGAGATCCAACATGTTTGTCCTCAACAACAACGAACGCAACTTCTTGAAGTCGCAATGGTCCTCGTTCTCCACCTCCGCAATTCCCCACGGGTACTGTCTTCCTTTCACAAACTGGCCTGGTGCGACTTCGATCTCATCTTCGCCTGAGCCAATGACGCTGAACGGCATGCTCTCAATCAACGACTTAGCGTGGTCGGATGAGGCCTGGTCGTCGAGCTCGATTGGCGGGGTGTAGATGCGGATGTCCTGAGCTTCAATCACTTGTCTGATGCGGCTTTTGAACTCGTTCATCTCCTTCTGGGCCAAGGTATCGGCCTTAGCGATAATCGGAATCAAATTGCATCTGGTGCCCAACTTTTTCATCACCTCGATGTCGAGCGGTTTAAGCGAGTGGCCGGTAGGTCTGATGAAGTAGAGACAAGCGTGCACGCGCAAGTCCTTTTTGTCGCCTCTGGCCGGCTGCTGCTCCTGTTTCATCATAGAGTCGTGCTGGTCGTCGATGAAATCGACAATTGGCTGCCACGAGTCCTTGTTGTTAACGTTGTCACCGAACCCGGGGGTGTCGATGATGTTCAATCTAATCTTGAAATTGCGTTCTTCGAGCTCCGCGCGGGTCACCTCGATCTCCACCGTCGCGTGGATACCCCTCTTGTATCTGGCCTTGTTGTCCACAGGCGTTTTGAGCGTGGACTGGAAGAGCGTGTTGACAAAGGTGGACTTTCCGAGCCCGGATTCCCCAGCCACCATGAGCGTGAAGGTGGCGCCTTCCTTGGAGACGATTTTGAATCTAACGGTTAGTAACTATACTGAGTGACATCACGGAATGATGCTACGAAATGAAAGGAGCGGTACCGAGTGTCATCACGGAGTGGTGTGGGTTCATAATTTGAGACAAATTGACTTGGTGTGTCACAACAATAGGATATTCGTAAAACAAAAGGTGCTACGAATGAATGTCGATTAGTTAGATGTCGAATGTATCAGTCACGGCAATTAATGGGTATTTGTCAAACCGATGGAACCTCAAACGGAGTATCAGATTGCACTCAATACCCTGTTTGAGTGTAATCTGATACCCATCAGCATTCCGAGATAATGCCAAATTGGAAGCCATTTGTATGTTTCAGGTGAATTCACAGTTTGTACATCTGCCCATAGATCACATAGGGCGTCACTTGTTGCACACACCGTGACGGCAAATCCATTCTTTATAAAGGGATAGTCTCTAATGCAAGCCGACACTAGTTCACGTAACAATCCAATCATCGGTAACATGCTTCTCATCAGCAGCTCTGCCCGCCAGCTGACTCCCTGATCTGCATCGGCAACTTACGGCATCACCCCTTTCCTTGCATCAGTAAACGATTCATACATACCTTTGGTTTGGCAAGTTTGCAATGCCCACTTGGTCGACGGTCATGTTGTTAATGTGGTTATCGGTTGTGGGGAGACAAGCCCGTCATCAATATTGATTTATGTCTTATGTGTACACAACGCGCGGTAGCTGGTTATGCTGCCCGCGACCGCTCCACGTATGCGGAACGGCCCCTTCGAGAAGGGGAACCAGTATAGGGTTTACAGAAACATAGGTGGCGAGACTAATTTGGTTCCAACTCCAATTATGATACTTAGCCGGTTAATATTAATGCGGAGACTTCAGAAAAAAAAAGTGTAATACGAAGGCTGAGAGGAGAGCTGGATGTTCTATGACAGGAGCAGTGCGTTGCTCAAAAGTACGCATTGATAACCTGTGGGCAATTCCCATTAAAATCACGGTAGGACTACGTGCTATACATAATAAATTATTGTTTGTTAGCTACCAACGTTATGCAATTTGGAATTTGTGCGGGTTTAAATTCCAACGTCCATTCCATATAATTATCAGGTGATATTTCCGTATTATTGTACACTTATGTGGCATAAAATTTAAGAAGCAACAGTTGGCTTGAATTGATATTATGAGAAACAAAAACCACAGGCTATACTTTCCATCAATCCCTTTTTACATAAAAAGATACAGCTCCCAAATGAAGATTCCTGTCAGCCCAGACAAAGAATATAGACGAGCCAGGAGTCAGATTCGAGACCTTTCATATATCAAACAAACGCCCTACAAGAAAAACTGTAGCGGTATAGAATAACTAATTAATGTGTAAAATTGAGAAACTTCCTCTTAAGCTTAGTTTTTCAGTCAGAACATGTAACACGCAATCTCATTAAAACCCTTTCTAGAATATGACCTCTAACACACCTACCACATCATGCACTCTTATCTTTTCACGTTAATTCGGAAGCTTTATTTTGGCCTCGTTTCTCTATATGCTTCATGCTTAAATATCTATTCTTCGATCTCAGCCACCGCCTGGATGAAGGTCTGCAACGCGGCGAGCGCGGCGCCACTGCGGATGCTCTCACGCGCCAAGACAACACCGCTGGACCAGCTATCAGCAATACCACCAACCACCGATAATGCGGCCGCGTTCATTACAATATAATCAACAAGCGGATGGCCATCGGCGTAGGCTGCGTCGTTGCCGAGGATTTTCAAGAGGGCCTGCGCGTTTTCCTGCGGAGTGCCACTTGCCACCAGCGAGAGAGAATGCTCTGGTAAGCCAAAGTCCGCGGGCTCAATGTAACTGACGGTAATTTCGCCCGAGGAGGTGGTCGCCCAGACCTTGGTGCGGCCAATCGGCGCAATCTCATCCAATCCGCATTCGCCCCATACGACCATGGTGTGGCCGGGACAGCCACGTGCAGCATCCATCTCGCATGCGGCCTCTGCAAAGACCTGTCCAAGGTGCTCGGAGTATACACCGATAATACGTGCGCGGAGTGGGATCGGGTTCATCAACGGTCCGAGAACGTTGAAGATTGTTGGAATGCCCAAGCCCGCGCGGAGCGGCGCCACCTTGCCCATACCCGGATGAAATGCAGGCGCAAAGAGGAAACAGAAGTTCAGACGCGCAACGATCGCGGGTGTCGTCGCGGCGGTGACCTTCGCAATCGACACCCCGAGATGTGTCATGAGGTCACCCGCACCCGAGGAGGATGTCAGTGCCTTGCCTCCGTGCTTGCACACATTGAGGCCCATCCCCGCGGCGACGATCGCCGCAGACGTGCTCACGTTGAAGGTGTTCTGACCGTCACCGCCGGTTCCTACCACGTCGATATAGCCCAGTGCGTCTACGCGTGCGGGGTCCACGAGCACGGAAAATTCAAGCACTGCTTTTGCGGCAGCCGCGATGTACTCTGGCTGGTGGTCAAGCCCGCGCACACGCAAAGCCGTGAGAAATGCCGCCGTCTGGATGTCCGTCGGCACGCCCTGCACGATGAGCTTGATCACCGTCGCGAGGTTGTCCGGTGTGAGGTTTGGCGGCGTGAGGAGGAGCGATTTGATGTACGGAGATAGCACCGTTTTATAGTCGATAGCCATGAGAATGAAGCGAGATGTGGATCAGGCTGAATAAGAGGTGTAGGCGAGATGGTGGAAGATAGATATATTCTCTGGTGAGTCAGATCGGTGCGTGCTCGTAACCGCGACGAAGGTGAACCGAGAAAAAACGAGTGCAATACAGAGCACAGCGTTGTGAGAAAGAATCAAAGATGAGTTTTATAGTTTTTAGGTAGTTTAAAAGAATTTAGTCTAAAACTAAAATTTTTTTCTTATACTTTTTTTCTTTATTTTTATATCGTTGCTTTGGAAGTTAGAGGTGCCAAGTGTTCATATTGACGATTAGCGTGCATGCTGAACTGAAAACCAGCGGAAAACAAGCTCTGTAACGAACCCTAAACACCAGAGTACAGCGCTTAGAAGAAACACCAATTTTTGGTATTGTCGAAATAAATTATCGAAGGTGGGCTATATGGGTTACCGTTGCACTGTTTTATGGAGAATACCCAATTAATTTAAAAACTTCAGAGAGTTTCCATTCTAAATCTAACAAGATAAACGTGCATAAGATATGTGGTATATCTAGTAGGTAATAGTGGATACCTCTAGCTAGCTAAGAGAGGATACTTTTCACCTGTAAGATATACACAAAATAAGGGTAGTCGGTGACCTTATATACTGAGGCGGATACGATACCAGGGTTTCTGCTTATCAAAGATAAAGAAATAATGAATGCCGACTTCCGTCTAGTTAAATGGCACCTCTACTACAATATATATGGTTTACCCGAGATTCATCTCCAGTTTTCCCCCTACGATATACAAACAGTGAGGCAGTACTCTGGAAACAGATTATTACCTCGATTGAAGCACGCTCTTCAAATAAATGGTGGATGAATAGTCCTCTGATGTATTCTGAGCGGCCAAGCATTGAAATGCACTTGGTAATGTGTCGTTTAATTTGCACAGGGGCCATTCTTATTCGAGAGATGTGTTTGAATTAATGAGAGTGCATCACCTTTCCTATAGTTATAAGCGAGACCCCGAAACAGCTAGCAAACGTTCTAAGCCTCTGTCTTGATCTAGTATCTACATCTCGAATCAGTTTTTTTTCCTTCCTATTTAGTGTTTCTCGTTATTACATTTTTCAGAAAGATAGTCCACTCGAGTTTATTTGTTTCTATTGAAAACTCTGGTTATGATGTGGTTGGTTCGAAGCTCTAGGTAATCGGCTTAATCAGGGTCCCCTTGAAAAATCTGCACGAACATAAGCTTGTCTAATAGGCTGCAAATAACGGGCAATCCCACCTTAGAATAAAACAATGCCTTGGGTGGTGGTGATAACAGGCTTGATCTTCCTGACGACAACATTTACCAAAGTCGCACCCGGAGCGTGCGGGAGGGTCGATGTGACAGCACTTCTCCCTGTCCAAGTGGTCGTGGAAGTAACGAAGGACGTAGAGGCTAAAACCGGTGCGATTAAAGTGATAAGGAGGGTGACTCTCATTTCGAATTCGAATAATGTAAAAAACTAAGTATGAAGGAATCTGAGGGACCTATTGGGAAACAAGTCACTTTTATAGCCGCTACATCAAAGTAAAGAGTAATGCTCTTACCAGAAGATTCCACGGTACGTACTGGAAGATGTCCCAAAGGAGACCTGAGAGTTGGTATCTTCGTATTTCTGGCTAAACAGCATAGACTATAATTTACAGATAATAGGCTGAATCAATATTCCCTCTCGTGTAAACACTCTTCGCTAGACGATGTAGGGTTACATAATTACGCACTGGTGAAACCTGCATATGAGTATGTTTAATTCAACATACATGGATATAGCCTCAAGTGGTAGGCTCGGCCTTGGAATTCTCTCAAACCTAAGTATCAATGGCAATTAAACCAATTTTGACGGTAGGCCCCAATTGAAAACAATCGGTGTTAGCCTGGTAATGAGGACATATACTAGTTACCAACGCGACACGAATGCCAGGCTGTCAATCCATCAAAAGTCGCGAAAACCCTCGCCTACCGTTTTACAAAATACACGTATATGTCCGTCAGAACGTAATGAAACCTTGTTCATAGTACTGTATAGTCTTCTTGGCTCTAGAGACAAATACGTCCTCTGTGTCTCTCATCGAGTGTGACAGTCTTCACTTACCAATATCCATTGGACCTTTCACGCTATACCCCGTTGGCACTTCCGTTAGCCATCGACTGTTCAAGCATTGCCGTCCACGGCTCTACAAAGTCCAACCCAATCTCGTCGTTTTTGTTGAACCAGTCAAACAACAAATCGGAATTGAACAAGTCGTCATCAAGGGACGTTTGGTATTGGTTCGGCTGGTGGTTCGGCTGGGGCTGGGGCTGCAGATTGAGATTCGGCTGGTGAGTTTTCTGATAGCCAAAGTTCTGGTACTCCGGTGGCTCGTACTTTTCCTTCTCATAATTCGTCGGCTCGCTCGAAGTATATGTGTTTTGTGTTCCCGAGAAGAAATCATCGTTCCTGGTCGACGTCTTGACCTTCAGACAGAGATACATCAAAATGGTGGAGTAGCGCGTGCACAAGTGCAATTCGTCAGGAGACGCCTCACGAAGGGTTATAGCCGCTTTCTGGATAATGTGAATAAGTTCATCCACCGGGATAATAGAAAGTGAGAGAATATTAGAGTCCATGGTCTCGTTTTTGGCGTTCACCATCTTCTTTGCGGCGGTCATCGTGAGGTAGCACTTGACGACAAACGCAACCGCACGCACTATACGCGTGCACCAGCGCACAGACATGAATTTGAGCATCTTCATCTTGTGCACACGCTGGGAAACGGCCAAGATCTCCTTGGCTGAGTTGAATGCGAGTTCGACAAACTTTGCCGACTTGGAGAGCTCGCCTAGCTTGAGCGTATTCGCGCGAGCGCTCGCAAGTTGGCTCGTTCCTGGAAGCTTCGAGTTGTCATTAGCAAGCGCGAGTGAGTATATGTATAAGCGCGCGTAGTAATAATCGCATATGATCGACTCACGGTCGATCGCCTCTCCGAGCTGCCGCATCACCTTCGACGCCGGGTTCTGCGTATCCAACGTCTGCTTGTTGAAGTACTTGAAGTTCGACGGAACAAGGAGCTTTTTGTACTTTATTCCCCACTTTTCAATCAACGGCGAGAGAATACTCAACACCGCGAGCTTCTGCCGCGACGTGAGGTCGCTCAACTGCGCCTTACACCCATAGAGATATTCGTACCCGATGCTCATCACCTGGAGAAGTTCGATTTTCAGCTTCTGTACAAAGTTAAAGCGAAGCTTTTTGTCCGAGGTGTCCTCGAGGAAGTCCTCCTCCATCTCCTCTGACTCGGCCTCAAGGTCCTCAAGGTCAATTTCCGCGAGTGACGGCGCGAGCATTGAACGCCGGTTGATATTCATCGCACTGGTGGTCTCAGAAACGTGAGTCGCGAGGAAGACGTGCGCGCTATTCTCAATGAACCCCATGTCCTGGGCCAAACGGACGGCGCTGCCAATAAGCATCCATGCCATGCGGTCGGAGCGACGGACGGCACCGAGCCCGGCAAGCTGGTCACTGTCCTCCACAATGTGCTCCTGCGGCGCGACGAGATCGTCTGGTTTATTTGTGTTTGCGTAATCAGACCATCGCCAGTGAATTGCGCGCGGATTCCACTCGGTGAATAGGAGAAACGCGAACACGGTAGTCATCGAGCGCGTACTCGACTCGGCCCACACCGTCTGCGAAATGAGCCGCTGCACGTAGATCCACAAACGCTCGTGCACCTCCACGTTACGTGGGATCTTACCGTCGTTCTCACCGAACGCGTGGTAGCGCGCAGAGATCGTGAGAATCGCGCCAAGAAGGAGCGGGTACCCCGCGAGCACTCGCGGCGCATGGAGCGACGGCGGAATGTGTGGGTAGAATGGGTGGAGGTTGCTGTAGAAACAGTTGATGAGCATCACCGCCTCGGCTTCCGTGAGGATGCAGCCCTCCTCGCGCGGCCCAATGTAGTAGATGTCAGAGAGTTCGGTCGACGGAAGCGGGCGAAGGTTGCGGTCGGTGTTGTCGAGCTGAGGGATGGACGCACGGTTAGGGCCGTCGGGGCGAATGAGCGGCGCGAGCTTGGGGATACTTGCACGTGGGAGACTCGTGCGCGGGAGCGCGGGCGGCGTGCCTGCATACTCAGATGGTGACTCGAATAATGGCGGTGACGTACGCCGCTGCTCCAACGCTTCTACGCGTGTACGTGCGTCGATATTGTCGCGCTCATCCGCGTTCGCGATCGTGCCTGCGGCCTTGGCGAGGAATACCATCGCGCCGCGCATCGTCGCGAGCTCAGGATACGGTGACGTAGGTGCCTCAGGCACTGCGCTTTCACTCTCTCTCTCATGTGAATACTTGGAATTCCGTGGGCTTGTTACCGAGCGGCTGTCGGCCGAGTTACCATTAGAATACTCGGGATTACGGAGCATCAAGCTGCTCGGCGGAGGCAATCGCGTTTTATGGTCGGAATAGCCACGGAAGTCATCTGGCAATTCGTCCTCAGTTTTGCGTTTTCTTCCTGCGACGACGTTGGCGCTGCCGCCACGTCGTGACTCGACGAACGTACACTCACGGCGCTCGCGCGAGCACCGTGCGCACGGCGGATCATGCGGGCTGTCGACGGACCCGAGATCACACTTGACCTTACGCATCCGGCAGTTAAGGCACGCTTTGTAGTTTCGTTTGAAGCGGATCTTTTCTTCCGCCAGTGCTGTGCTCATGCCAGACATCCCTGGGGTACCCGTACCTAGCATGCCCACCTGGGTACGCGGCAGGGGGCTCTCATAATAACTCATGTGTATGTGACGTGGAATGTAGCTTGGTAAATATAGTTACTCGATGGCTATAAGCTTGGAGATATCTCTGAGGAAGACCTTAGGGGGTGCCGTGTGGGTCTAGAAAGACGTGTAAAACCGCTAGTCTGCAAAAACAAGTCGAATGGTCACAACAAGAAGGGAATCTCGATCGAGGGATGACAAATGTTAAACGGGGGATAAATTTTAATAGACGGTTACCACTAAAGGATGGTTAAGCGTACAGGTGGCGAATAAATGTTCAGGCGGTGAGGGGCTTTGCAAGACAGATCAGATGGCAAAAACACAGATCGTAGGTTGCAGTTGAGTTAGGAAAGGTTGCGTCTTTGGAAAAATATGGATACCTTTTATTAATGCCTGGACGATCTTTGGAGTAAAGAGCAACAAATATCCGAGGCTAGAGGAAGTTGTGGTTGAGTCTTGTTTAGATCGAAACGTGAACCCCGGGGTGCGATTGTCAAACGGCTTTCCGTCCATTGCCTCTGCTGCCCGCACGCATGACGCCAATTTTTTTCGTGCCGCGCGTGTGACAGACGTCAGAATACGAGAAACCGGGAACGTAAATGCCAGCACCATGCGCTTCTCGTGTTACTTTAAATTTAATTTCTTTAATAGTTCGGTGCATTAGCCATATTGGCTAACCTATGTCTGTAGCTCTCTGGAATTAAAGAATAAGGGGGTCTTCAAAGTATACAGAGTTAGATATTGGTTATGAACGCTGGGCTGACTCTGTCCCCTCGCTGGCTAGGAAGCCGCCTGACTACAGGCTACTACTGATTTTGATACGGTAAATCGCCGCGGTTGATACGACTGGGCGCTGTAATTTCCAGCTCCAACTTATTTGCCATGATACATATCTCTTTCCGGACCCAGAGCCTGGGTACACGTTTCTGGCAGGGAGAGTGCTCTCGGAGGTCTTTTTCCGGCTCGGGATCTCGGAGCAACAACAAACCGAACTACCCGTAAGAAGTCTTATGCAGGAGCCTCAAGGCTACATGGCTTCACTTCTCCACTAAATATGTCCTAGGGTCTAACCTAGAGGCGGGAAGTAATGACGATTAATATTTTCGCTGAGATCGAAAGTATACACCTTACACATACTTGGAGAGAGTATTAGCCTTATATCACGATAAGCATATAGACCGAGTCATACCTTACAACTTCGCCTTGGCATCAAGGATTTTGCCCTCCTGGTACATTCTATCAGTGTCCGACTTGAAAAACTGCGCACACATCGGCCTCTTCATTTTGAAAGTTGGGGTGATGACCTGGCGCTCGACCGTCAACGGGTTAAACTCGCAATGGATGTTGTAGATTTTCTCAAAGCCCTGGATCCCGTATTGCTCCACCACTCTGTCGTTGAATAACTTACACAACTTCGCCCTCACATCGCGCCTCTCGAATATCTTCAAGATCTCCTCCTCGCTGGTGGTCTTGATCTGGTAGTTATCCTCTAGCCACTTAGGAATCGCCTCTGGGTTCAACCCCACAATGGCCACAAGGTATGTCTGGAGGGAGTCACCGTGAATATAAAGCTGCGCAATTTCGGGGTTACTGCCGATGAAGTTACCCTCCAAGCGGTCAGGTGCGATGTACTCACCCTGGGCTAACTTGAACACGTTCTTCACCCTGTCAACAATGTAGATTCGACCGGTATTCACGTTGAGCTTACCCACATCCCCCGTAAGGAACCACCCTTCGTCGTCTATGGATTTGCGGGTCTCCTCTTCGTTCTTGTAGTACCCGCTGAATACTAAAGGGCCACGCAACATTACCTCACCACTGATATACCCCTTGGCATCCACGTTTTCGGTTCTGTAGGCCATTTCCGGGATGTCTCTTAACTTGAGCTCACCGAACATCCCGATAGGACCGGAAGTACCTGGCTCCTTCTCGTACGGGTTGGCAGCACAAGGGGTGGAGGTGACTTCGGTCGACCCGTAAACCTGGGCGAACCCGGTGCCTAAAGCGGCCTTCAAGTTGATGATAGATTCACCCGCAATCGGGGCCCCACCCGTCATACACGTGTGCATGTTGTCAAACCCCACCAAGCTGCGGATCTCGTCGATGTATTGCTGGGTTTCAGGGTCTTCACCCGTAGCGCCATCGTACTGTGCCTGCAACTGAATCCTGCGGCTGATCGCACTCTCAAATTTCGCTTTCCGTGCCTCTGGCATGCTAGCGATGTAGTTCTTGATATGCCCTTCAATCTTCGAGAACATACGTGGGACAGAAGTCAAGAAGGTTGGCTTGAGAACCTTCAAGTCGGCAATCAAGTCGTACAACGGGTCACGGACGCCTCTCTTGTACAGTCCGACGTCGTACTCCAACTCGTGGCGAGACGGGAACCCAACCGGAACTCCACCTGCGAGGCAAAAAGTGGTGGTGATTCTCTCAAATAAGTGGGCCAACGGCAAAAAGCAGTAGTTGGTGGAGTTTGGCGGTCTCTGAATGTGCGATAAGCAAAACGAAATCAGCGCCACAAAGTTACTGTGGATTAAGCTCACACCCTTAGGGTGCTTTCCAGTAGTTCCCAGGGTGAAGCTGATGGTGAAAATGGAGTCTGGAGTTGGGGGAATCTCGGGAATCCGATTCCTCTTACCGATCTCAATGATCTGGTCAAAATCGTACAAGGTGATTTTTTGCTTCTTCGCCTCCTCGAGAAGCCTTGGAGGAAGCACCTTTAACGAATCAAAGCAGATGATTGTGATTAACAACTCCAACGCTTCCGGGTTGTCTCGTTTCGTCTGGATGATCTGCTCAACCTTATCAGCCGCACAGGCCACCACTGGACTCTCGGTCAAGTTCAAGATGTACATCGAGGAGTCTTTCCCCAAGACATCGTACAAACAGGTGGTGCCCAAGTCGTAGGACGTGCAGGCAATATCGGTGATGACCCACTCCGGGCGGTTTCCGCTGTAGATGGAAATGACATACTGCGACAAGGTGTCGTGTTTAGGCATGCGGTATGGGTTGTTTTCTATCACGTGTCTGAAGCCCGAGCCCACATCGGTCTTGATGGCATTGATTTCGGAAAAAGTTTTCCAGGTAAAGTCGTTGGAAAACTGCTTAGTACCGTCGTTGAAGACTCGCTGGCCCAAGCAACGCTTGTTGGGCCACAACTTGACAGAGTTGTTCCACATGTCGTAAAACGTGTGGATCCCGGAGTTGATAGTGTTGTAGATAGCGTGCGGTGTGTTGCTGTTGCGGTAGACGGGCGAAAAACCGGCCTTTTTGGAGTTGGGCACCGGTTGGGCTTTGCCAATCAACTGGTGGGAAAGCGGCAATTGCTCTTCGAACAAACGGCGGATGGCCGCATCCGTCACGTCGGTGGTGAGAGGAGCGAAGTCGTTAAACGGAAGATGGTCGCGAAGCGAGGTGGGCATGATGGAAACGATAGTGTTAGCGAGTCGACGAAACAAAGAGGGTGGGGGTTCCTCCTTTTATATACTTTTTTGCTATAATAGGGCAAAGCGTGGTTGCTTTGTGCTCTGCTGCCATATGCGGGGATGGGGTTGGGGGTGCCTAGATGGTGCATGCAAAGAAACAGAGTACAGACTATGCGGGGTGCGCGATGCATCACCGGATCTTACGCTCTGAAAGACAGTGAGATACGTTGGAGCTAGCAACCCACGATTCATCTCTAACCTATACTTCGGGTCTATGTTATGTTTATTTTGCTTCAACTTGCTGCTATTCCCGATCTGGACTCTGGAAAACATTTTCTCAATTTATTTTACCTTAGGATGTGTCCAAAGTGGTTGAGCATCTCCGGATCTTTTATATGACTAGAAGGAGTCTCGAAAAATGGCAATCGGCGGGCTAACTCTAAATAAACGTCATGCATTCCCCTCCTGTCGGAGGTTGACATGGCAGTTTGCGTGGTAAGCCTAATTTGAATGAATTTATATATAACGAACGTAGTTTTATCATATAAATTCGGCCACTAGATGTTAAAATATTATCCGCGCCACAAATTCGTTGAGTTCTCGGTTTTCTGAACACTGTAATTGCTCTCTGGGGAGTATCATAGGAACTGGGGTAGGCGCGCCGCACAATCCTGCAGGAGGATCAGTGCGACCCATCCCCGCCTTTTACCTTGATGTCCGGTGTCTGGATCAAGATAATGACGGAGGGGGTAACAAGAAAGTGCGGGAAGCGGTCGGAAAAACTGGGTTCATATTTCAGTCTCTACGAAAAGTTTTCCTATCTCTGTATCGGGCAGACTGGGGTGATATGTTAAACTCTGAGGGGAGTGTGGCTTGGGCCAAATGCGTAAGTGTTGCGCTACGGAAACCACTGATAGTGGGGTAACCCAGGCGGGGTATTGGCGTAAACCCCTTCGAGCTTACGCCAGTCCCACTCTATTGGATACTCTCAGCACAAAAAGAATACGGCTTATTATCGCACGCCTTGATGTTGACAAATATATGCTTACATCTGGGTCTAAGCTCGAAGGTTGATAAAAGGTTCCGGAAGAATACAATACATTATTTCCAGTATTTTACAAAGGCTCCACGATGCTAGGGGCTTGTAAACGACGAATATACTCGCCGGTATTGTAGTTTTTAAATGCTGGGGGTGCTGGAAATAGCATACAGCGTAGAATGGTCTGGGTCAGCAAAGCACTCCTGGATGGGTCAACTTCGAGTGCCTAAAAGAGATATTGGGTAACTGATAGAAGTAAGCCTGGGTTCAGCCCCATAAGACATTGACCATGCCGTTCTTCGGAGTGAGGGATGTAAATAAGGATTCATATAAAACAATTTGAATTAAACTAAATGTATTATATATAAGATATCAAAGTCATGATACTAACCCTGGATTAGTATAGATGAGACAACCTAGCCCAATAGTACTGATACATAAGGGTGATCTGGTTGTAATGGAAGGGGAAATAAACGGAATGGAAGAATTGAAAGAATAGGAGAAATAAAAGGAAATTGAAGGAAAGGCACTAGCTCGTACTAACAACTATGTCTATTAATTACACTGGAGTGGTGAAGATGTCGGTGAAAGTAGTGGAGCCGTTACAATCGGTGACCCATTCGGTAACAGTAGTCCAAACAGTTGGAGTAGAGTTCGAATGCGCTGGAGGTTCGGAGGAGGAAACCGCTGGTTGGGAAGAAGCGGATGGCTTGGAGGATGAAGCCGCTGGTTGAGAAGAAGCGGATGGCTTGGAAGAAGACGCTGGTTGGGAAGAAGAAGCGGATGGCTTGGAAGA